CTTAATTTGCTGACAAATATGAATATTCACCGAAAAAGCACCCACACATGGCGAAAATCATCGATTTTGAAAAAAAAACGTTGTTCAAAATTGCATTTTGCAGAAGCTCAGCCTCAGCTTGTTCTTAATTTGTTCTTAACTTTTGACCAGTTTTGAGGCTCGTGTTCTTAAAAAATTGTTCTTATAAAAAAAGAGTGTAGTTGGATGGTGCTAACATTAGGGCCAATCAAAATTTAGATTATAATTGTGTCTTGTAACGGCCAGGCCAATAAATTAGATTCATAAGGCCAGTCAATAAAGTTGTTAACTAACGTAATTTTTTCTAAAACATTTAAAACAAATAAAACAGTAATAGGATTCTAATACACTCTTTTTCTTTTATAAGAATAATCAGAATAATCAAATTTTTCAAGAATGTTTTAAAAATATTGCTCAGCCTCAGCTGGCATATTTGTGTTTGGTTTTTCAGCAGTTGCCTGTTCTATGGGTATGTTCATAACAGGGAATCGCAGAAAGGACAGACCTCGTTTTGAACTTGAAAAGTTTAACACACTTATATATCATTGGTTTATCAAAAAGCGTGCTATCTATTAAAGAACAGGCAATATTTCCCTAAAACCATATGAGATTTGAATAAATAAGAATCTTTTAAGAATGTATTCAGGCTCAAACGAAATTTTTTTGAGAATATCGAGGCTGGAAAACTTTTAAAATTCTAAAAGTGATATCATTTATTTCAACATTGGCGGAACTTTATTCAATTATTCATGCTAGGAAATGTTCCAGCAGAAATTTGTCGGGGATGGTTTTTCGCAGCTGAAAAATTATAATTTCTTGATGTTCTACTGTTTTCAAATGCTCATGTAAAGATATTTCATTTTTATGCTAACCAACCAATCATATTGGGGGATTTTCGTGAAATTTCTGAGTTCTTGCTTTTTTCAAAACTCAATTTTTTCTTAATGATTTTGCCTCGAATTGGAGCAGTTAACTTAAGATAATTGTTTTTAAATTTTTCCGATTGCCATTTACTTGTTCCTTATAGTGAGTTTCTTCTAAGAAATGAGCGTATTTGGTTTGTTTACATCCATTTATTCATTCATATTATAAATCTAGATGGTTAACTTTAATAGCAAATATGAAAACACAATTTTGACGACATAAATCAATTGATTCATTGTAGTGTAGTCACACGAATAAGAATAAACACCAGTAGTCGAAAATTAGTGTTGCAAATCCAAACCACAATGGATGCAGGGCTGTAGAACAGGGAGGCTCGGGAGGGCCCTTCTACTTTTCGAAGGGAGGCTGCGCCCCCTCCCCTTTTTTCTCGGCAGTTCTACAGTGTCATGGCTAATTTCTGCCAGAATCAAATCTTTAATTGAACTGATATTTCTTTTTGACATTTTCATCCATCTGTGGCCTCATTAGCCCTCTTGATAACTGAAAACTCAATTAATATTCGCAAAATTTTACTACTTACTATTAGTTTTTCATGTTTAAGATTATGCTACTCAAGTAACAGGTAGAAAAAAGACAATGATTTGGTCCTAGAAAAAATGGAATGATAAAGAAGTTGATATTGAGGAGCCATGCACACAAAAACAACTGAAACGTTAATTTTGTATAGTGAAAGCTCTATGACCCCCCTTCTACATTTTTTGGCTCTACACTACCGAGTAGATGTCAATGTCTGTAAAGTAAAATAAGAGAATCCTAGCATCGTGAGTTTCCTGCTATTTGTTGAGTATTCAAATTATACGTGCTTATCCTATTGCTAATTATTTGGTAGCAATAAAAGATTGCTCACACACTTTGTTAGCAATTGGTTTTGGCTACCCTGTATTTATGAGGGGGCTCACAGAAGTATGATAAAATGTACAAACATTTGAAAGATGTTATGTTAGAGACGTCATAATATGATACTGCGACATTACACAATGAATTACTTTTAAAAAAGCAAGAGAATTAGACGACAAAGATCGTAAGATTTTATGCATGACGTAATGATTAAGAGAATCCTTCACAGTAACGTACTCGGAATCAAGGTCTACCAGATTTTTTCATATTTCTTAAAACTTTCTTAAATTGTTTTGCATGCTACGCTCCTGTCCAATAATACCCAATCGAAATCCTGGCTCGAAATCTTTGCTATCGTTCATTGAAATAAAAAATGCCAGTAGCTTAAATTTCTAGGACACTACACTTTATCCAATGGCTTTATTATATATTGACCCTACAATTCCAAAATCACTTTGTGGTTTTAGAGTTACGCAATGCTCGATTTCATTGTACTCCACACATACCCTCTCTCATATTTCTTTTGCTTCTTGAGTAATGTTAGACGCATACGGTTAGACGCAAAACCGGAGGTCACAGGAAATGTTCCCTCCCCCAACTTCTTAGAAACTGAGATGAAATGCTAATTTGACCCCCTCCCCAGCCTTTACGTGTCCCATCCCATTTTTGGAAAGTTTACTACATCTAAGATGTGTATTTAACTGATTCTCTCTATCAGGCACGTAAATACTGGGGGGTGGGGGTGAGGGGTGTGACACCCCCTACTCTTTCATCCAGTCGGAAAATTTGAGGACAGTCAGAAAATGTTGAGCTGTTGGTAGAAAGCTAGGTTAATCGGAGAAAATTTCAATCATTTGTGAAAATTGAAGTTTTGACTCAAATGACGTTGTGAACTGTAGCTCATAGAGAAGCATAAGAAAGGTATTAGTTCAAAAGAAAATAGTTGTTTGGTAAAAGGCAGTCCTAAAAAGAATTAGAGGCGACGCAATACAAAAAAACAAATTTTTGTATGAAAATGCAAGTATTTTCAACTACATTCATCATACTGGGGATAGTGTGATAAACATTCCATCAAATTGCTTCTAAAAACGGGATACGAAATAGAAATTTTTAAATAATATTTATCAGTAATGCTTAAAAAAGCGCAGTACATTTCCCATGACTTGTCAAGAACTTTCTCCGTTCGAGATCGACCGATGAAACATAGGCGGCGCCAGGTGGAGAGCTGGAGGCTTCAGCCCCTCCCCCAAATTTTTTCCAAAAATGTATTTTTAAGCAAATAAAAGATTATAGGAAAAGGTAAAAAGAAAAGAATAATCCGACAAATCCTTTAGTTGCTTAATTTCCAAGGAATACGCCAAGGTCTATGGGGCCTCATAAAATAATGAATTCAATTTTAAGACTGGAATTAATCAAACGTAATAAGAGCATGCCTTAAAAATAACAAAATGTTTTAAACGATTGAAAGAAAATACCTGCAAGAAGTATTCTGAAATGTATCTTAAGCTAATCTAAAAAGCGTGGTGGTGAAAATTTTCTGCTCGCTTCGCTCGCAGGAAAGCCACTTCTTTCGGATATCCCCAAGGCCTCCGCCAACCTCCCGCCGACCCCCTTCAAACGTACCGCTAGCTTTTATGAGTGCCCCTTAAAATAATAGGTATAAAATATCGTGAAGCGTGTTAGTGCTTTTTTCAAAAGATGGTTCTTTAGTCTAATAATTCTATCAACTCGAGCCCCCCCCCCCACTTTGAATTTCCTGGCGCCGCCCCTGTGAAAGACTAAACGACCTCACGGCTCTTACTTGGGAGAGGACATATTGGACAACGTAAATTTAGATAAGTGTAGCAATGGGCAAGTCGTAGAAGGAGAAAAATTAACACCTGATTTTTGGACTACGTATGTTGTGATGCACTAATTAAAGTAACAGTCTTTATGATCGATCTTCCAATTTTACGAGATCTCGAAACTTTATCATACAGCTGAATAATTATTTACGAGACAATTTATAAGGTTTTGTTGGGAAAAAACTGTTAAAGTTTAGGCCCTTATACAAAATTAGAATTGACCTTTGTCAGTCAGATATGTTGAGCCCTCCAGCCCCCCCCTCCCCAAAATATTTGCCAATTTACGTCCCTGCTCTCTATAAAAACACAGCTAAATCTTCGTCTTAGAATACTGACGAACCTTAGCAGGTACTGTATATTGAGTGTCCATTTTTGCATCCTTCATTGCGAAGAAACACTTGAAAAACTTTGACCGCGTATTGCGCTGTCAAACTGATTACCAGTAGCACTTGCTTTGTTTTGCTTTGCAAAATTATGCGTGCACTCAGTTAAATTGAGAGTGCAGAGCCAAGAATAGATTTTAGGAACATGAAATTAGCGACAATTTTGAAACTTCGCCCACAAAAACATGCTAATTTCAAGGAGGCTGTTTTGTACGCTGTCAAAATTAAATATTTAAAAGCCGAGGTCATCTGTTCTACTGAAGGAATTTCGGTCAGGCACAATACAGTAATTTTCCAATGCACGTGTGTTTGAGTTTTTATCTGAGCAAATTGCAGTGATCAGCGGTAATCTGTTTACTTAAAGATGCCTAAATTAGCTCTCAAAGGACCCGATTCATGGCTACTGGCAGTTTTTCAAGCATCTAGGATTTGATTGCCCGTAATTTCCCGTTCATTTTCGAAGAGCCATAGGAATTTCCGATTAACACTGATAATTATCTGGTCACTGTTTATTAAAAGATTTCTGAGGTAACCCTTTGTTCTTTTATTCAGGAACCTGTATTTGGTCATAGAAGCGCAGTTAGAAGAAAGTAAGAAGAGCCTGTCTAAGGTGTCAAAGGGCGCTCTAACACACATTGGCCACAAAGATACCACCTCCAGTCAAGTTTGAGTAACTGAAAGACTTTGACCCTGCTGCAGCTGGTTAATTGTACGAAGAAGCTCGCATTCCAAGGCCAAGTTCAGAGACACAATCAACATCACATGTTATTTAAAATCCCATAGATTGTCGCAGGAAGAGTTCGCATATTTCAATCCGAGCACATTCGTCTAGAACAATTAAGAAACAGCTGTCGCTTATCATATGTTCATCAGAAAGCAATGAGCGTGGTGGAAAACACCCGGTTAAGCGATTTGATTTCACTGTGCTTATAACTAAATCTCGATACAGTTTGCGTTCTGGAGTTTGGTTTGAAGTTTGTTGCTGAAAAAATGACTAGGAATGGCAATACAGTTCAAAAGGACCCATTAAAAGTCTTACTTCTTGGGGACGAAGGTTGCGGAAAAACAACGCTTTTGAAGACATACACGGGCAAAAGATTCGATGAAGTAAGTTAATAAGTTTTTCTATTTGCATGACAATGATGCTGAAAGTTTCATATCTTTTACTCTGCACACATGATTTCGGTTGAGTCATCATATTCTTCCGTCATCCTGTCTACAAACTAATATATTGTATTTTTCGTCAATTTGCTGCCCCAAGGATCATCGTTTGAGCTAGGCCTTCTGCCTTACATAGAGTGTTGAATAACATTACAGTTTGTTGTATTTATGCTATCCCGAGAAAGTGTATTTATCCTATTCTGCAAAGTACTGTCATCCATAACGTTGCAGCTGACTCAAAATGTCCGCGTCGGTTTTTTTTAATTTTGTTCAGTTTCATGACACGTTACCAAGGCAACATGAGAAGGCTAGTCCTTGAAACAGATTTTAGCACTTAATCCTGAAAAAAAGAACTTTGTATCCTGTGAAAACTGGGGTTAAGAGAACTTTCATTCATCCCACATATCAATTCTATTTACATACGTATCTCACAATTGCGCCGAAAATAACAAAGCTAGAGCAAAATATTTCTTCTAACATGGCCCCAGTATAATTTATAAATGCTTTGCCAAGTCAATTTTCGATTTATATTTCATATTGATATGTGGCTGGAGGGGCTCAACCTGTTTTTTTGTCGTTCAGCCCTTAACCTAAACTCTATTTTTATAAGAGCAAGTAAATTGAAGATCAGGTGGGCATTTCTTAATTTCGAAAATTTGAGGCTGGATTGTTTTTAATTTTTCTTTTTAATTATAAGGGTGCAAGCAAAATAAGCGAAACATCCTTTACACTCTTTTTTTAAAGAACCAGTAAATTTAAGTTCAGGCTGATTGTTCTTAATTTTTTTGAAAATCTGAGGCTGAATGGTTCTTAATTTGTTATTAAATTCATAGGGTGTGAGCAATGCGACTGCTAGCTTTTTCGCTCTAGGGAGGTGTTTAGGCCTCAATTGCCAACAAAGTGAGTGAGACAACCATAATTTGCCGACAAGTTTGAAAATTCACTGAAAAGGACCCACACATGGCTAAAACTCTTCGTTTTTGAGATAAAACGTTGTTTAAAATCACACTTTACAGTATGTAAGCCTCAGCTTGTTCTTAATATGTTCTTAACTTTTGAGAGGCTCGTGTACTTATAAAATTGTTCTTATAAAAAGAGTGTACATCCATTACAACTGCTTCAAACGCAAAAGCCAGATCCACAAACAAATTCGGTTTACATATCGAATTGAATGCAAATTGCATTGGAGTATCGTTATAAATCAAATAATATTGAGACATTTCTTTATCCTGGTTTTTGGTCAGATTCATAAGCTGTGAATGCATTACCTGCGGCCACACATTGGTAGGCCGCCCAATGAAGCGCGAACAGGATTAGTCAGATGTGGTTATTTATCTCTGTACAATTTGTTTCGTTATTAAAACCACATTTCAAAGCTCAGAAACTTATTTGGCTCATGTTGAAGTATTTTACATTCAGTCAAATGAGTCAATTCAATGATTATTCAACTGATAATGATGTTTACAGCCTCCCTGTTCTTGGCACCGACTTAAAAGTGTTCATACGCAATCCGACTGTGCTAGAAAGCCAATGACACAAACGTTTACGTCATAACTTGATTAACCCCCTCTAAAATGAGGCCCCCTCTTAAGCATCGATTTTCTAACAAGCTCATTTGCCGACAATGTGGTGGGGCTATCCTAATTTTTGCCGACAAATCTGAAAATTTGTCGACAAAGCACCCCTTGATGGCAAAAAACCCATCGTCTCTACAATGAAATTTCGTTCCAAGGGGTGTCACACCAGGGCCCAGAAACCTTGGCCCCCTACTGCAGTAAAAGGGGGAAAAGCCTTGGCCCCTCTATTCAAATTCGTGGCGTAGGCCCTGCACGTGGTTTTTTCAGACACTAGCTTTCTGATTAATGGGGTGCAGTCGGTTCGCTAGTGCCTAAACATTATTGTAACTGAAATTGTCGTTCCCTGAATGAGAGCAAGGATCGATCCCCTATAAATTACGTGGTATGCCTGTTTCTGTGCGTCAGATATATAATTAAAATGCTGACAATTGAACAGGATTCAGTTTTCTGTTCTTTTAAAGACCGGTTATTTTTAGAGGATTATCCATCTTGTCAATGACAAAAAATAAGGATTTTGAAAGCCATAATTTGTACAACTGTGTCCATGTCTTACTTCTATATCTAATTTGAAATGTTTGCACAAAGTCTTATCGAGATTTGGCTTGACCAGCGTTTTCCTTTGAAAATTTATTTGAAAGAAAGCAGCAAGTGGAAGCAGGATTATTCCAAGCTTCGTCCAGTTTCAAAGGACGCGCGATTTGTGTCCTTGCATGAATGTTTAGTAGCATACAGCCGACATTCGTCTTCAGACAAAGCTTTGGCTGCTTAATAAGAGATCAGCTGTTATTACCACAATGGGTTTTTGGACTTGCAGTTTCTATTTTCGTTGGTTCCCGATCTTTTTCAGGGCCCACGCCATTAATTCGAAAGAGGGGGACAAGGCTAACAAAAGTGGGGACCAATGCTTCTTTCACTCTTTATTACAGGTCTGAAATTATTTGCTTGGCAAAAAAGAGGGGCTATGAACCCCCAGCCCCCGGTCCCTCCCCGGTGACGTAGGCCCAGTTTTTGCCCCTGACCTGTCTCAATTTTTTCTTAGAAGTTTTATGTAAGATGTATTTTTAAACGGTCCGTTTATATGTAACCTTCAGCCATATCGAATTTAATAGTTTTATGTTCTTATCTCAATGTGGAACGTAGATTATCTTCTTAGAGTATCTAAAAAGCTTTGCTCTCGCACTGCCCTTTCGTTAACTGTAATCAAATATTTAAATTCAATTATGCCAGCTACCTATATTGGCGAGAGTCTCTTTTCCACATTAACAGCAAACGTAATAGTATAATTATTTTGGCCTACAGCTAATTTCCCACAAGCTGAATTCTGTGTGCTCTTTGGATCGCCTACTGACGTCATATTGGGATCATAGAAAAAGTCCATAACCAATATGGCGACTCTGTTTAAATCTTTGAATGCGGATGCATGCGAAACCGGAAATTCCAAGTGTTTTGATGTATTTTGAGTTTCTATATTGCTTAATAAATCCCGAATGGAAAGCTATTCATGGCCTTGTTTGGCGGATGTTAATTTGCCAAAAATATGCCCTTACCTCTTCTTGGATGCTTGTATCATTGACGTGAAGCAAAAGCATTTTGTCTGAATTTATGGATTCCATTCTATTCTGTTTTATTTCCTTCTATTTTATTGTTAGTGATATTTTGCAAATATTTCGGGCATATGGACCATATTGCATGAAGGTCGAAACATAAGAATGGGGAGAATGCACACTGCTTGAATTTTCAAACTTCCTAGGCCAAATGGTCTGTCTGTTTTCTGATTTCAGTTTCCTGAAAACCTCTAATAACGGCCACTCTCGGGGGCTTAGTGGCCGTTGTTTCAGAGGAAACTGGCTATGGGGAGGCTTTTGACATATTTTTTTGTCTAAAACCACTTGTCAGAATGTAATTGAACTGGACACTAATCTATAGAACATTACTATGTTAATTTAAGTTGCTTCTGTTGAGTGTGTTGTGTTTGTAATTATCTTATGATCATTACTCAGTTTCGAGTCTTAAGTTGCACGCTATCGTCTTCGCTTCTCGTAGTATACGACTACTCGTACGTTACAACGAACCCTGACTTGTAACATGAAGAGGGGGAAGGGGTGATTAAAGCAACTTATACATTTATTTTTCTTACATAAATTACAAAGTCACGATCTTCGATAACATGCACTGTCACTGTTAGTAAATCGTGGGGGTGGATTGGGACTTGAAATACCTGTGATGCATCAAGCAAAGAGACATGAAAAGGCTGGAAAAAGCTAATGATTTTTAAAAAATGTACATACTTGGAAAATAGAAGCGAACATTTTTGTATTTTTCTTTCATTTCTTTCCAAAAAGTAGCCTGGTTGACCATTAATGGAGGTAAAAAATGCATTAGGGGTGGCCCCTGTGTTGGGTTTTCTTATGAGTGTTTGACCATAAATTCGGCGGGGATTTTCTCCACTGGCCTCAGACCTGGAGGTGACCGTTGCCAGAGGTGATTGTTATTAGAGATTTCACTGTAAATACAAAAAGGACCTGATTCCAGAGCTTTTTAAGATCTCTTTGCATGAAAGGGCAAAGACAAGCATTGAAATAAAGTGAATTTTTAACTTTGATTTATCGTTATTTCAGGAATAAAAAAAACCGCGAACGATTTATATAGAAGCGTATGTACCATCATACTATTTTTCGTTAAACTGTTATGTTAAAACCAGTTTTTTCTTTGGCAGCAATACAGTCCTTCGGTATTTGATTATTACACGGCCACAGTTTCACTCGAAAACAAGAACAGTCTTGGCCTAAATCTCTGGGATACTTCAGGTAAGCATAAACTATTTCACTATCGCCTATTGTCATTCAGTACAGGTGGTAACTAGCAGTTTTCAGTGATTTTCATTCCATGTAAACAGCCCCGAAATCACCCAATTCTGTTGTGGTTTCCAGGGGTTACCAAGGGGCCACAGCCCCAGCCTCCGCACCCTAGCAAAAAGTTATAAATTTAAGACAATAAGGATGTTTTGGCCCGGGACCCTGGAGTCCCTAAAGCCGCTGCTATCCGATTTGAATGTCCCAGCTATCCGATTTGAATGATGGGTAACTGTGACTTCATTGATCTGTTTAATGCAAGGATAGTTGAAGGAGCAGACGTCGTCCAGATATCGCAGAGGGGGAGGCCATGGACGGAGCGGAGCGTTTTACGAGGCAACCCTCGTCTGAAAACGTAACAGCCGATTCAAGACAGGTGCACACTATTAAATTGGCAAAATATGTAAGCACATACGTGAAGTACTAGCTTTATCAGCTGCATCAGAAACAGCTTTTCGCTATGCACCCTAGTTTACCTGATTTTGAAATAAGATGCATGATATCAAAGAATGATATCCTGGGATATGCAGTGCGTGGCATGCTTATCTTAGGATAATCGAGTCGATAAGCTTGGATCCAGTAGTTGTCTTTGTTGACATAATCAGCATTCGGTGGAATAGCTTCTCCTTATATTCCAACAGATTTATTGGAATTACTCTAGTCATCTCAGTATGTTGGCTTTTATGCGCATTACGACTTCTCTGGTCGATAAATCCGATTACTCAGCAAGGAGTGGCTTCGTGGTTCTTCTCGCATGTTAAAAGGCGTTTTCAGCTTCTTAATTATGAAAAATTGAAAAGGAAATTGGCCAATACACATAGAAGTACAGGAAGTTTCTTGGCTATTTAATTATATTGATATTGTTTCATTGTGAACTCACTCTGAAATTGTTTTTACCATGAGCTAAGTTCTCGATGGAAGAATATTTGCAGATTAAAGAAGGTTTTTGTTTGAGGTTAATTTTGGTATATCAGCCAGCTTTGTCGATTATTGAGAGATTGACTGATAGATAGCCGTCCATAGGCTCAAGAGAGATTAGACCTTTCTGATCTTTCCCTGAAGGCAGGGCCCGCGCCACCAGGGGGCCGAGGTGGCCATGGCCCCCCACTTTTTGTAAAGCAAGTTGTTTTAAAGCTGCAGTAAAGGAGAAAGAAGCTTTGGCCTCGCTTACAAATTCATGACGTGGGCCCTGGAGGGGTTCCTATATTTGAAAGCTTGAAACACAAAAAAAAAATTATGTTTTAACAACAATGCTCAAACAATCCATAAATATTCTAGATTGCGTGCGGTACAATATGATGCTAAAATAACGATCAATGGACGTAAATTGTACCAGGAAATTTTTTTTGAAATAAACAATGACGTTTCGAGCATAGCCCGTTATCTTAATGCTTAAATAAGTCTCGTTAATTTTTTCTTCAGGTTCAACGGATTACGACCATGTTAGGCCATTATCATACAAAGACACGGATGTTTTCATTTTATGTTTTGATATCAGCAGCGAGACTTCACTTAGTAATGTCAGTAAAAAGGTAGGTAATTAAAAGCAGTTTCTTAGAAACCTTGCTAAGGGGGTATACACAGTCGCCAAAGAAGGTGACAAACAGATAAACAGATTGCTAAGACGCATCATCGCTAGGCCTTTTACATGCCTTTTGTATGTGCACCCCAAGTAAGCAACTTTACTGTGATCAATAGACTATGCTGTGATTATAGTGGCGGCTCGTGTATTGGGGCTAGTGGGGCTCAGCCCCACCAAAGTTTTCCAAAAATAAGTTTTAGATTTATAAACGTAAATAAAATTAACGCCCATTATTAATTTAGCACTGTTCGCTAATTGCTTCGAGTCTCACCGTTCGTCCAATCTCTAGTTTGTTTAGGTCTGACTGCCCGCGGTTCTTTTGAAAACCAGACAAACACGCCTAACAGAAACCATCTCCCGAGCTGCTTTCCAATTCTGCTTAAATCTGCATTCCTTTGGGGCTAGTTGAAACTAGCCCCAAGCAATTCAATTCTTCATCTCCTCCTCTCCGCATCGAGGCTCGCTGTGCATGCTACGAGGAGCTCGAAGAACTCAAATCGGAGTTCGCCGAGTCACCTCCAATTAGGATTTCAATGGTAGCTGAATTTTTGTTGTTTTGATAGGCAAGGTTGACCTTGCAAGGCAGCAGAGTTGCGTGTATTCGTTGACTTGCAATTTCAGCTTTAAAACTTTGAAATAAAACATAAAATTTGGATCTTTATATCAGAATTTATTTTGCCGATCCTGAAATAAGTTCAAAATGAGAAGGCTAGGCCGTAGGCCTTCTAAAGGCATAAAGCATATTTCCAATGCAGGCTTTCAACTTGAAAAATGTTAGCTTCACGGCATATGAAAATTGATCAATTAACAGTCTGAACTTTTTGTTCTTTGACAATTTTTCAATTGCCATGATATGCATTGCAAAGGATATCGTCTACGGGTTGGCCATATTCAAGTTGTCTATGTTTTTATGGACATCACCCACGAACTCCCCTTTTTGTGAAGAGAGAAACGGTTCAGCGGACTTGAATAAATCATGTCGAGCATACCAACATTTCACAAAGTTTATTACTTTGCTTGTTACAAATTATACATAATTAATAGAGGCACTTGTTTTTTTCAATCAAAACTTTCAAAATGATGACAGCCTTGTTGATTAGAGGTAAAGACATAGAGAGTAAAGAATGGAAGAGGAAAGGTTATTTATCTTTCTTGGCGTTTCGTGTCTATGGCTTTAGATTTCGAATATTACGTCATCAGTCCCACCAAAAATTTACCACACGAGCCGCCACTGGCTGATTAAGTGCTTGAAGGGATAAAGACTGCTAGGTTTGGCAGTATTTCTGTTATCAATGTCCTAAACAAAGAGGATTTATAAATATATTGGCTCGAAAAAGACCAATGCAGGCTTTTTTCATGCAATATATGTTGTTGAAAATATTTTCAATCTTGCTTCATCGAATGGGGAAAAGATCCTTTATCTAGGATTTATCTTCCTTTATTTTCTTAAAGTCCTATTTTGTTCTTTCTTTTCCCTAGTTAGGTTTTCTAAACGTTATGTATGACACAAATTTAATTAGCTTGAGATTGTACCAACTTTAAATTAAAAACTAAACGTAAAATAGAGAGCGTTTTTAGCTTCTTGCCGAAAGCGGTTTTAATAGCATCCGTTTTCAATTTTAGTGGCTGATAGAGATGTTTGAGAATAGTCCAGGAAAACCATTTATATTAGTCGGATGTAAAGCAGACTTGAGAGACGATTCAACCGTACGAAACAATGAAGTTAGTCAAGAAAAAATTGTTCCTTTTACACAGGTAAGGCTCTCATTTTTTCGCAATAGAGAGGGCTCCTTTTTGTCAGAATTTTAGGTTACAAGGACACTTCAAAATGTCTTGTTAAACTTCAAGAATTAGCGACTCTTACGGTGCAGTGCTCATAAGTTAGGATTTAAATTATCAAGTAAGAGCACTTCACCAAGGTTTTCATAACGCATTTAACTCCTTTAAGTAAACGCTGAGACCTGATTAGCCGTTGACGCAAACCGTTTGTGCTGATGACTTTAAAGGACGATCAAAAATAACTGGGAAAGACAAAAGAAGTGGCCGTAATTCCAAAATGGTAGCCTACAATTATATATAAAGATGATCAATTTATTTTTCAATGTCACACTGTTCATAATCGAGGTATTTTTTTAAGATGCTAACTTAGTAGGCAATTTCCCCTCAAGCCACAGTAAAATTCCATCGTTTGAAACAATAGGATGTTGTTCTCCTCTTCATATTAACAAAGCCTTGCCCCCTCCCCGCACCTAATTTCCCTTCGGAAAGGCTATGGTTGGTAAAAAATAAACTCTCGTTTTAGGCGATGAAGTTTGCGAAGACAATAAAAGCTTGCGACTATTTGGAATGTTCATCTAAGGCTATGAACGATCAGATTGAGAAGCTTTTTGTCACCGTGGCCAGACTGGGCCTAGGCTTAAACCGACGACAATCAATGAAGAAGAAGAGTTTAAGTTGTGACTTGGATAAAGAAAAATCCAAATGTGTTATTTCCTGAGATGGGGTAAATTCTCTATTTTGCCGTGGTAGCTGCTTAGTTCCCTTGTACATTGGTAATAGAATCGTTTTGCCACATAACAAGAGCCCCCGAGCAGGAGCCAGATGCATTTGGAACCGACATCTAGGCCTGGTGCAAGGCTGTTGGAACCACAGGCCTATTTCTGTTGGTTGAGCCATCTAATTATGAAGCAAATCCATTACAGAACAAGATGAAGTTATTAATTTATATGAGACCCTATTATAAACGGATTCATGATCGGAAGCCATTGTGGCTAACTGGATTCGATCTAAACGAAGTCTCAACATGGGGAAAATGAGACCGGAGCTGAATAGTCCGGACCTGTTTGGCGATGGTCTCCTGTAAAGGGTGGCTGAGGTTGAGACAACTACTTGATGTATGGTTTACTGCTTCTACGGTTTGAACTCGAGCGTGCCGGTCTGCTTGGCTTGGAGAAAGAACAAGGGCCTGGCGAAATTATCCCCTGTTTCTTGAGACTTGATTATTTTGACGTAAAGAACATAATATCAGTGCTGGGTATTAAAAGTTTGCTGTTGAGTAGCACTCCAGTAATGGTAGTTATAGTTTGTTTAAGCAGTCAATCACACAGTTAATTTGTTTTTTGCAACATTTTCTGAGCAAAATTAGCAGTAAATGTCTGCTTCACATCAAGATGACATCAAACTAAGCTATTGTCATGAAGCAAAATGATCAAATTGATAAACTTTTCCATTAGATTTTCCGATAATACCCCAATTAATTAATCTAAATTCTTCAACTATATACGATAAATTCCTCCATTATACGTTCTCAAAAAACACGCTTGCCTATTCCTTTTCAAGGCAATACCCTTCCTTAGTAATCTAAATGCTCATGTCACTGTCAAAACACTGCAACCTTTGGCCTGCCCTAAAAAAGGTGAAAATATACATTTTACTGGGACTTTTGATCTCAAAAGTGGATCCTTGTCGTTAGTTTTTGTATCCTCGCTTGCATTCAGTCTGAAATTTCGTGACATTTGCGGATCCTATGACAAAATACTCGACCACTGGGTCCCGAGAGCCAATGAAAAAGTAACCCTTTTGGACACCGCTTTCCTCGAAAGGAGAATCGCCTGGGGGTTTCTAGGACCTTTTTAATTCCCCATCTACAGGTAAGGCTGTTTGATAATATTTCAGTAGCCGAGAGCCTTGGTGAATTGTCTTCTAGTAAAACATACAACAGAGTGGTTTTAGAGCTTTTCGCAGCGATATAATTACAATATACTAGGGTATGTTACATTGTTGTTCTCACACACATCAAACATAACCTTCGTATGTTGTATGTTTGTAAAATTGACAAATAAATTTAGATCTAAGTCAAATGCTTGCAGAATTTGGTTCTTTGACCTGTTTGTTCTAAAGTGATAACATATTATTGCGACCCAATTCTTCCTAGAAACATATCAGAGGTCCCATAAAGCGTTACCTGGAATGAAAACAAACTAATTTATTCGAAATTGCATCAAGAAAATACAAAGCAGTTTTCCCTGATTTAATCGATCTTCTGATTCCTGACAAGAATGTGATGTGACCTATTTCGAATTAAAGGAAAAGCAGTAAGGCTGCGGAAATGAATATTTAGTTTAAGAGTTTGATGGAATGAATTAAAAATAAATTTTCTGAGAAATTGAATAAGTATGTGTATAATACAAAATGCATTCATGTTTTGAGACATTTGATATCTGAATACGTTTTTTTGTGCGTGTCTCTTTCTAGATAGTTATGCAAATGCTATAAGATAAACAAGATAAGGTGGAGACCCAATCCTAAAGTTCCCCCTACATGCTTCATGGGACTTATCAATCGTCTCCTGTTCCGTGATACTGTTTTCTTCATAATTAAGTGGACAATACAATGCAAACAGAAAACTGGCATTCTTCTGTATATTGCTGTGTCGATAGGATTCATGCAATCCAAAAACTGTCGCTGATTTCAGTTTATAAATCAGATTACTCGATTTAAGTCACCGAAGACATTCTAAATTGCAAATCTGTGGCACAATACGGTTAAAACACGATTCTTCGAAAACATTGCTACGACAGTGTGACAGTCACGCCCCAATGCTGATACGACCATGAACATGTACATACAGGAACCGAAAGTATGGAGATCTGTATGCAAGGCAAACACCACAACAAGTTAAATTCCAAATTCAGTATGTAAGTAGCAGAAAGGAGATTAATATGTCAACATCATACAGACATTCATCACGAAATATAAAGCATACATAAGAATGATTATAAAATAAGGGTTTCATCATCTTCTCTTCTTCTTATTGAGCCATCTAGCGATTCCTGTTTGTCCTTTCGGGCGTCTGTTTAGCCATCGACTTCTTCCTGCTTTTCCGATTACTCTGTTTCTATGATTCATGTTCGAGACACGCCCAATAACAGCCAATGATTCACTTGGAACAACGTATTCTTCTTTTGAGTTTGTTTTTATCACTGCCTGGTCTTCGACCCTTCGCACTAAAGTTGCATAGGTGCCGGCTGCTCTGGCATAGTACGCACCCCCGCCGACTTCCTTTTCTACCAAGCACACCATAGTACCCAACGGTAAAGTAGAAAGGGGGTACGCATCTCCTGGGGCAAGCTTAGCTAGAGACTTTGGCTTTCCACGTGAGGCTGTTACGATGTCACCCGCTTGCATATCTTCTGTTGCTATAATCAGCCTGTATTTGTGCGATAAACTACCGGCAACTTTGGCAATACGTGCACTTCTGTTGGGGTCATAAGCTATGGCAAGCACTTTATCCGCAACAGTCATGGGTTCCTCTGCAAGAGGGACCCGCAAAAAGTCTACTAATCTGTAATTGCGAGCGTGACCGCCTCCTTTGTGCCTAATTTCAATCCTTCCATCAAGACCACGCCCACCTTTTCTCTGGCCTCGTGTGATTCTTCCATCAAGAAGATAACGCGGGATCCAGGTTTTTGGAAGATTTTGTTTCTCTTTTGTATACGACCATACTGTTCGCCCAAAGTCTTGGGAAGACGTCATAAAGAGACGGGAGAATGTCTTTGCAAGTTTTGATCTTTCAATGAATGGCAGGCAAAGGAGATTTTTGCAATGAGTGGAGCACAAAGATTTTGTAAACTTTATCACCATGGTTTGTTTTATCAGCAAACCTAAAAAAATGTGCTTGGGATTACTGTCAACTACAAAATGAAGGGCTTTAATAAAGTACAACAGAAAAATACAAAGATCTAAGACATAGGTTTGAACTAATGAAAGTGTAAGCTGTTAAAAAAAACTGACAGCTGATTCATGAAAATGTAGGTATGTTATTTAAGTAGCCATTAATTTACCACTAACCACCAATTACAGATATAAGATTTCAGGTATTTAAAAAATGGAGGGTGATATAAAGATCACAACAAGCAGTCATTGTCTTTATATGAAAAATTTAACAGATGAAAATAATTAATAAGAGGTGTTTGTATTGTAACAACACCCCTTCCTTAGTTTATGGAATCAATTTAATCAAACATCAAAGAAGAAGTGAATGTCATTATTACTTTTTCCATTCCTAATTTGCTGTTGTTGCTGTGGCATTTTGAATTTGTGTGGGGCTTGCCAATTAAAAAATTTATTTCTGTGTTCATCAGCATGAGGGCAACAGTTATTTGACTAAGCATGTAAATATGCAATAGGTTACAGGGCACTGAGAAAACTCGCTAGGTATGATGTCTCTCACAAGTTTGTTTTCTTGCTAAACAAATGCAGTAGTGTAGTGAGGGTGAAACAAGAAGGGGTGGACATCAATGGTGAAAAATCTCTTTGAAAAAGGTTGTTTTCTGCTTTTTTAAAGAGTGTGATGGGCCCCCATTTTCACTCACTGAATTTGCCTTTGCCTCCATATCGTATAATACTTTACAAATGTGCATACATTTTATACTTTTGACTAGAATTACATTCACCCATACTTGTAAAGTATAGGAGATATTCCTGAGATTAGACTTTTCCATTGGTTGTTTATTAATTAGAATCTATTACAATAAAGGCAAAATTAATGAACCCTGGGTGCATTTTACAAATAATGCTTTGTGTTGACAATCTTAAAACAATATTGCAAAAAAGTTGACCTTTCATTAGGGAATTAAAAATCTTAAAACTGTCAAGATTTGGATAGATGGGGAGGGTTTTTTTAACTACATGATTATACAAGCACTTTATAATTGGTAAAAACAATATAGATTTCACATGATTTTGAAACTAAAAAGAGATAAATGTCCATTATTCTTTTGGTAATTATCAGATATTTTATTGGTGTCAGGAAGATGAGGAATGTTGTTTAGTAAAATACTTTCTTTTTCTTTAATGGCATTTTAGTGATATTGAAAGATTCAAATTATGAGTTGAGAGCATTATGCAGGCCAAACACAATGAGGGAAATATTGGTGAGGTATGGATGATGACTATGCAAGCAAAAAATTCCCTGCATCATGTACATGAAACATGAAAATGCAATCTTCATATACCAATCTGCAGATTATGGCAGTTCTCAGCAAGACCTTGCATGTGTACAGTCATTTCAAGCAGGTTTATCATGTGTTATCCTCTAAGCATGCAAAACAAAGGTTTTCATAATAGCTTCATGTAAATTTGGTGTGCAGTTTCAAATTTTTGGGATGTAGCACTATACTGGCCTCGTGGGTGCATCTGCCATACCCTAAAGATTGGTGCATACATAACATCTATGTTAGTGTATGGCTCTTTGAAGATGCCTTGGAGTTCTTGGAATAATTCATGTGCATCGTCCCTTTTTATAAAGAATCTTTAGTTTTGAAATCATGTGTGCAGCCCTACATTTTGTTCTGCATTAGACAAATCTCAGAAAAATCGAATGTGTGCACATGTCACACTCTGCTGACTGGGATACATTTTAAGCCTTAAGGAGACTTAAAGATAATGTGTCCATATAAAAGGACTGCGTATACCCAACTTGTCAAGCCACCCATCAAAATAACGGTTTGCGATTGGCTAGTATTCTTGGGATGCAAAACTGCTCACATGAAAAGCTAACTTCACAGCAGTATAGATAAACAAAACGACCGTAGTGGCTGGGGCGATGACATGAAAAATCACATGTTTCTAAAAACCCCCACAGAGTCGCTTGCTTTAGCTAGACACATTACCTTTAAGAAATAGGGTAAGCCAGTTTGAAAATACCACTAAATACAGCTGCTATGTTACATGCATAAATAAATTGCATGCATCAAGTTAAAAAGCCAAAAGCATTTGATTTTTTCTTATTATAACTCTTTACTGGTCTATTGAATGCCTGACACATGCAGATATCTTTAATCCTTTTGTAGCATTGGTAAAAAATTTTATCAAAAGCTCACCAACAAATTTGAAATTTTACATAACTGCCTTAATTGCATTTTGAAAATAATTTTTAGGATTCAATTGCCCTAATGATACTTTTTTTTGAATTAAAGATAAATGCAAAATTAAACTGAAACACACTTCGAATTTTCTCTTTATTTGCGCTGTCACTTGCTTCTGATCTTGTGGCCTAGCCTTTTGATGAAGAGGCTTATTTTGAAAAGAGGCTACACAAGACAGTGCTACCATTTTGACTTTCGCGAGGTTTGGTGGCCTGTGAAAGTTGTTCAGATATGTTTAGATCAAAACTCTTAGAAAAACAGAGCCTTTACCTAAGAACGACTCTTCCCGCTCTTAGGGTATCTGGTAAGTGTACTGAAGCATTTTATTGTTGTTTGCAATGACGTTAGCAGTAGAAAATGCACTTAAAAACGACATCACTTTTAGGCCGTCATCAAAACACGTCTTCGAAACTGTTATGTAAGGATTAGGTTTGGTCTACCGATTCCCTACCAATATCAATTTACGATATATGATAACTGTTAGGCGTTTGCCAAAGATAACTTTTGATAATATTTTATAATATTTTTAACCTCTGGAAATTACTGGTTCGCTTCATCGATTTTCTTTCTCCCATTTTGTATTTGCTACGACGATTTCACAATACAATTCGGTTGCTATAAATGTACAGAGCAGCATATTCTAGTTTATTCTCACGACATTTCATAAAACCAGTCAGCACACACATCCTCTCCAGAGTGCAAAGTATTTTTCTATGCGGGGAGTTATTTTCTGCAGCTTACCGCTGCGTGGGAATAAATAATATAGCAAAATTTAAGAAGGTTAAAAGCTGGAGTATTTTATTTTTAAACAGAATTTGTTATCCTCCTGGTGAAGCTGTGTACATGATTCACTCAACAGTCTGTGCTGCGACCCCATGGATAAATGCACAGATAGAATTTCAGGAAAAAATTACGTGTTCCCTGCACATACCCATACTTTGCAGTCTGGTCCTCTGTCTTATTTCATGTTAAGGTTGTAAAACATGTATAATTTCGGCTAAGGGTAGCTGCAAACAACAGTACTCTATCAGGTATAACTTGCGAGCAAAAGCATTTGATCTGCATGCAACTGCGCTCATGTATAAATGACAGTAGTATAATATACATAGCTTGATTGACATTGTGGTTCAGATCCGAGAAGAAATCGAGCACAGCTGCAAGCCTATGCAAGTTTTCCAGTCAAGTTTCATGTAATATCTTCTAGCAATGGTCTTCAATAGCTTCTGGCTAACAGTTATATTTATCCACAGCCTTCTCTTTAAACTGTGCAGTTTCTAAGGAGTTTTCCAAAGCCTTTGAACCTTTGCAAAAATTCATAGTTATGGTATAAGTATTTTTATTTTTAAGTCAAAAGAAATATTCTTTCAAGTTAAAAAATATCTAAATGATAAATATTTCACTTTTTTACAGCCAAGAAAAATGCCACTGCTGCAGCACAGAAAAAACCTGAGAAAATTGAAGTTTTTGTAAATGAAAAGAAAATTCTTGTGGACCCAGGGACAACTGTGCTTCAGGTATAGACATTCTTCTATCTGAAAGAAAGCACAGTTTGTAGAGGCAAACCATCAATCTTTATGATTTTTCTTATTGACATGATTTTTAGAAGCTATAAAAAAGTTGGAGATAAATTAAAGCCCTCCTTTTTGAAAATGTTGAGACTTCAAATAATTTTTAAATTAATTTGAAACTTTTGTTTTTTCAAATCATTGAGAAAAACAACTAACTAAATTTGTTTTAAATCCTAACCTGTGCACATAAGACATAAATGAGCTTGAATATTAATGTGCAAAAGAGCTTGCAGCAAACTATACATTTGTAACATAAGGTTTTTTATTGTTGCAGATTTAATTAGAAATATGCATTTTGAGACAAATAAATGGCATCTATATTGGACAACCCAACCCTAATCCTATGTTGGATATTATTTATTTGAAAATTTGAAAGTTTTATTTGAAAGATTGAAATATTTAATGTTTGGAATCAAGCCTTTATTAGCCTTTTCTTTATTCACACAAGCCTTTACTACCTATTTCCCTCTGCAATAAGCTTGAAAGATACGCTTTTCTTTAATTTTATTTTAGTTTTGATCAGGGCCCACACCACAAAATTTAACCTGGGGGCAGGGCTAATGGAAGTGGGGGGTCAAGGTTTCTTTCAACTTTAATCATAGCTTTGAAGTCATTTGCTTTGGAAAAAAGTGGGAAGGCCATGGCCACCCTGGCCCCCATGGTGGCACAGGCCCTGTTGATTGAGTAAATCCCAATTTTTTCCCTAGTTTTTGACACAGTAATTAATTGGTTTTAAAATCTGTAGCCATTCTTTCTTTAACAGAAGTTGTGTCCTGTTCTTGGCATCTGACTTCAGCAAAACATTTCTTCTCTTCTTCTCTTCGGAATTATTGATGAGAACCATCTCACTTTGCCTAATTTCTTTGCCTGAGATACTAAGAAGAAAGCATTTTTCAAACCTATGATGCTATTGTTATATTACGGTACCAGTTTGAAATACCCATTTTTTGTAGGACTATAAATTGTATGACAGTAATAAACTGCTCAAAACAACAACTGAATAAACTTCAACTGACACATTAGTAACAAATAGTTTTGATTGGTTTTGGAAAGAGCAGAATTTCAATTCAAGTATAAACTGCAGATACAAATAACTAACAAGCAAAAGGTTTATGTCTGTTTCAGTATGTAGGGGCCTCACATGAAGAAACTATTTTTAACACAAAATAAGAAAACATGGATGGATTCCTACATTCTTGTGTGCTAACACATGATCCCCACTGAATGACCTGGATTGGGCACTTTACAAAAGCTTTAAAATATTGATTGTATGTATATACATTAGAAATAGCTAAGATGTTCCTAGCATGGAAAAAAAATTTATTTGGAAAAAATATATCCCAGTCAAAACAGTAAATTGATCGTTATATATAGAGATTGCATGACTTTTACTTTTTTAAGTATCCCTAATCCTCAATGATGAAATTGCCTAGAACAAGATAGAAGCAATAATATTTATTGTTCCAACTCTCTTGTTTGTGTCTTGCAACAGGCATGTGCAATGGTTGGAGTGGAAATTCCTAGATACTGTTATCACGATAAATTGTCAATTGCTGGAAACTGTCGAATGTGTCTTGTTGAAGTTGAAAAATCTCCAAAGGTATGCATGCTTTATGACTTCTTAGACGGCATCAAAGATATGTGATAACTTGAAATTTGTTAAACTGCTCTCATCTGCCATTGGAATTTAAAATTACTAGCAACTGAATGCCATTTGGTATAGAATGAATGGTTAGCAACATGTCGGTGCTCTGCATAATATCCCTTGAAATAATTTTTATACATCAACTTTTTCATGAATCAATGATTTTAAATTTCCTTGTTACTAGCAACTGTTTTGCTGTTTATTGATCCCTCACAACTTAAGGCATGGCATTTTTTCTAATAATTGTTAGTAAAACAGAGAGTATAAGGGCTTCGTGATTTGTATATGAAATTGCTCAGCAACCTTCCAAATTAAGTCTTTTAAGAGGCTTTATAACAATACAATAATTTCACTATCTTGAAATAAAAAATAAATTTGTTTTTGTTGAGCTGCTGTGTAGAATATTGAAGCCAAAAAGCTGCCCATTTTGCACTGAATTGGGTTGTTGTTAAATTTCTGTTCTAAATAATTACTAGAAACGTTTTTTTGCAGCTTGTAGTATTTTTACAGAAAGTTTAAAATTTTGCAGCCTGTAGCAGCATGTGCAATGCCAGTCATGAAAGGATGGAAAATAAAGACAGATTCACCATTAGCAAGAAAAGCCAGGTATATGTATGAAAGATATACAGGAACAAAGCAATACAACAACGAGAATCCAATGTCACGAGATAAAATTTTCAAAATAAATTAAATTTAAAAAGTATACTAATATTTCGCCCCGGCATACAGGGCTTCATCAGAGTAAATGAAACGAATGAGTGTGTATACTACTGATGATTTACTCATAAACGAACGATTCTTACACATGTATATATATATATGTGTGTAGAAATTGTGAAATGAATAGACCTCTCATATACAGCCCTTGCCTTTGTAGTTTATTGTGTTTATTGTACAATAGGTACAGTAATGGTTGAATTTTAAAGTTTTTGGACTATGATTTTAGGGAAGGTGTGATGGAATTTTTACTTGTCAATCATCCTCTGGACTGCCCTATCTGTGACCAAGGAGGCGAATGTGATCTGCAGGATCAATCAATGGCATTCGGCAGTGATCGTAGCAGATTTGTTGACAACAGTTTCGAAGGAAAGAGGTGAAATACTATTAACATCTATAACCTTGATAGCTCGAACAAGGTTAAACTGTAGCATCGTTTTTGTTGATTGATTCCATTATGAATCTATGTGTGTAGAAGTATGGATTGTCCATTGTGCGACTTCTCGTATTTGGAAGAAGTTTTATATTACAGTTTCATAAGTAATTTTCTGATTGAGTCATGATCTTTCTTGCCAAGGCAATTTGCCAAAAAAGCAAAAGTCGTAATCTCACCTGACCCTGCTTGTTACTTACTGTTTTATCCTTCTGTTTAGGGCTGTTGAGGACAAGAACATTGGTCCCCTTGTAAAGACTATTATGACTCGCTGTATTCACTGTACTCGCTGCATCAGGTAACTTTGCAGCAATTCATGTTAAACAGCTGAACTATTGTCACTAGAATGTATGGGTCTCATATTGCATAATCAGCATTCATAGACATGTTTTCTAAGCAAGTAGACATATACTCTTTGAAACTCCTAAAGCTCCTAAATGTTATTTATAATTTAGTTTATATGATTATTTTCATGCAACTTCTAAATAGACGTTTGCTGTTTATCTTCAATTTATGAACGTTCAACACCCTCAGTGCTGTCGAGAGTCTATTTCCAGTTATTTTGGCCAATTTTAAGCTTTTGAGGATAGACTCGCAATAATCTTTCCTTTATCTTTAGAAAAGTGGAAGAGATCTATAAAGAGCTCTCGAAGATTCCTTTTACGATTTTTGAGAATCCTAGAATTTTCAATGCCTTAGCTGACAATGTTCCAAACTTCTTGGTACACCTCACGCTCACACCCTACAATGTCCCTAAAAATCCGTAAGACCTACATCTATTTAATTTTCACAGGTTTGGAAGCGAAATTGCAGGCGTTGATGATCTCGGGACAACTGGTAGAGGTGGTGACATGCAAGTTGGTACATACATCGAGAAAATGTTCAAATCCGAACTGTCGGGAAATGTCATTGGTGAGTTTATGAAATGACTAAACTATAAGTATTTATAGAATTATCCGAAAAGCTCTGAAACATTTTTTTATTAAGTAAACAGGCTCGTAGGCAATAAGGCATTTTGGTTTATATGTATTTAAGATTAAGGAGGAGCACTGTGTTCTGTTATTGAGAGAAAGCTCCTCCTCCCTCTCTATAAAACTAAAACTACAACAAATCTGTTTTGCAGAAATAAAAAAAATCATTTGCCAGATTTTTTAAAAGCTTTTAATTGATAGATATACAGGAACAAAGCAATACGACGACGAGAATCCAATGTCACGAAATAAATTTTCAAAATAAATTAAATTTAAGTATTTTGAAAATACTTAAATTCTTAAATTTAATTTATTTTGAAAATTTATTTTGAAAATTTATTTCGTGACATTGAATTCTCGTCGTCGTATTGCTTTGTTCCTGTATATCTTTCATATTAAAATCTCATTGCAAGATTCACAGAATCCGGCGGACAGCCTATCCTGCGGCTCTTCCTTCTCACACTTTTAATTGATACTTGATAATTTAATTGATAATTGATAACAAGATGAAATGAGCTTTTAATCGATACGAGTCAATGAAATGTGCCTTCAATTTGACCAGAAAACTGCAATATAGCTAGCAATACTTATGAAAGGTCATCAATTCAAATGCCAGTAGATGATTGCATACTTACTGCAGCACAAAACTTCTACATTTGGAAGTAACCAATGTGTGTAGGCAGAGCCGATACCAATGGAGGGCATGGGAGGGCGCGTCGCCCCCCTATAAGGCTGTTTGTCGGAAAATCTGAATGCTCGTCGGAAAATTTTTGGATTCTCCATAATCGCAAATCACATCCCAACGACTGGCTGATGATAATCTTCTTAGCTTTCCATATGTTATTATTAACAATTTTACTTTTAATCGATTATTTTATGTTGCATTGACTGAAAATAGCCAAAGTTGGTCTTTGCGGAATAACTTTGTGGTCCTTTGATGACAAATGAGACGCACGCGTAGATATGTCGTCGGAAATATTATAATCTCCGACCCCCTATACAACACTCCTGGTGTCGGCCCTGATTAAAGGTGATAAGGATATTCGCGAGGGTCTGAATGCTATCCGATCTTCCTTTATTTTTGCATTCTCATTTTAATTACAGACTTATGTCCTGTTGGTGCGCTGACATCAAAACCTTATGCATTTGTGGCCAGGCCTTGGGAAATCAGGTCCGTGCTCTGTTTTGCTTATAATATTTCTACGTTTTTCGAATATCTGTTCTTTAGAACCCATAAGAATTTTTATGAGATAATCTAACGCTGAAGTTAGTTTAACCAGTTAGTTATTGATCGAAACGTCATTTCAGTAAAATTTCAGATGTCACTTAAAGTTTGTTGTGCACATCTAAAGAGCGTCCAAATATTGATACTTTTCATGTTTTTGAAAGGTAAGTGCTTGCTTTTGCAGAAAAACTGAATCGGTCGATGTGCTAGATGCTGTTGGCAGTAACATCGTTGTTGGTACAAGAGCTGGTGAAGTCATGAGGATTATTCCTCGAATGAATGAGGTGCGTCTAAAAAGAAGCACGTTTGGCATTTTTCAGTTAATTTCTTCATCGATATTCTAGGTCAATTATTTGGAAACTTTATTATGCAAATCGAGCTCTTTCCCACCCATATATTTCGCAAGGCTTGGTGATTCCTCCGAAGCCCCTTTTCCTGCTCTCTTTGTTTGTTTCTTTGTTAGTAATTTGAAGATATTTATAGAAAGCTCAAACAATTTAAAATTTCTTCGATTTTTACAGCCACTTTAAACATAGGGCATGCTGTGAGGGCTTCATTTTCCATAGTTTGAAAAACTGGTTCCGAATTATACGATAATTTTGAGGCAATACTAAGTCCTATTTTCCTAGCTCTGCTCTTTTCAAACAAAGTTCTTCGATAAACACAATCGTAATCAAAGGATTCCTAATGTCAACCGACAAAGTTGCTCCAAGGAAAATCTCTCTTTGAAATCTCGCAGTTTCCAGCACTGCCTTTTAATTTTTGCAATATTGCCTGAATCTTTCCCAGCGAATAGATTCGGTTGTCTGTTGACTGATCTGGGCCCTTTTCGCATATATACTGCTCTGTTTGTTGACCTTTGGTAAAAATGTGTTTTGCACTCGACAGGATATCAACGAAGAGTGGATCTCAGACAAAACAAGGTATCTTAATGCAGAATTTATTTATATTGTATCATTACATTACGTTCTTTATCAGATGTTAATCAATCAGGCTGCTTTAAAGGTGTTTTTTAAACATCCCCCTTTGCTAAAAATTATTGGCTTTGCAAGCAAGATAGTTAAATGCATAGAAACTCTTTGCAATTCCCTATTCCAGCTCCATAAAAGCTCAGGAAAGCTGCAAAAATGTAACAAAGCAGATAATGTAACAGAGTAGATATGTAACAAAGTAGAAATTGCCAAAATTAGCAGATAAAGTTACTCCGATGCCGCCAAGAGGTGGATTTATGTGAACATTTCAACTCATTTTTTCAGGATCTGTTTTCTGATTTATTCAAGTCTAATTATAAAAGATGGAGGGTTACCTGACTGGTCTTGATTCTCTTTGTCTGATATAAGTTTTCGCTTGACAGTCTAGATAGAAAGATTTAAGATATAGATAGGACCAAAGACTTGAATTTAAGTTCTCTTTAGTGTTTCTCAAAATATTCCTGTGGGCAGAAATTTATTTTTTTGGGCCAACAGACCTGCCTACAATAAAGGGCTACAGCTGCCCCTAGTGTTACTGTTTTTGCCAAGTGTTTCTGTTTTGACTGCCTTAACTTGTCTAGAAGACGCTACCAATGTATATTTACTTCGTGATTAACCATGATTCGTGATTTACTTCGTGATTAACGTGTAATGACTTTGTAGATTCGCATACGACGGTCTAAAGCGTCAACGGCTTACAACACCAATGATTCGAGGTGAAGATGGCAACCTTTCTCAATGCAGCTGGGAAGAAGCATTGGTCGAAGTAGCCAGCAAACTGCATTCGGTGAAGCCTGAAGAAATGGCTGCAGTGGTTGGTGGATTGGCCGATGCAGAGTCGCTAGTTGCTTTGAAGGATTTGGTCAATAGCTTTAACAGTGAAAATCTTTTCACAGAAGAGGGATTCCCTGAAAGTGGAGCTGGGTACGTCAGAGTTAATATGTTAATAAGTTTACAAGCAGCTTTGAGTTGTGTATTTCTCTTTCTTATACTATTATTAACAGAATGAGCACCAGTATCTCCACTTAAAAGCGTTTCGATTTTTCCATGGCTTACGCATCATTTACTATGTAACAATGTAGATTTTTTTTCCTTATAGGACTGATTTGCGCTCAAACTATCTGTTCAATACAACGATCAGTGGAATTGAGGTTAGTTTTTGTTTTTATCTAGTTTCTTTGCTTTTATGCTTTCATGCATCGTTGATTGAAGCTTTTTATGTCAGTGCTGTTCAACATAAAGTCTACTGAGAGGAAATAAATCTTCTTGTGTAAAAATTCCAAATTTGGTACGGAGTAATGAAACATTCCAGAGAGTAATGAAATACTTTCTTCATTGGTCTGATGCTTTGGTCTTTAGCAGATTTTTCTGTCCTTTATCCCTGCATTAACGCAATTTTCCCGATCCTATTCTTCATGACGTCAATTAATTTTTAGGAGGCCGATGTTGTCTTGTTGGTAGGCACATGTCCGAGATTTGAAGCTCCGTTGGTCAACGCTAGAATCCGTAAAAGGTTTGTTTAATCATTCTCTGGCTATCTTTGAGTCCTGCCCCTTGTATTGCGACTTTTTTCCTGAGTTATCGTTCTTTTTTATCAAAGTATGAAGTTTGAAAAAAACATTAAGCTAGTTGAAAATTGTATGTATAAGGTTGCTGTTGGGATATTTTTGTGCGTAACCATATACCTTTCAGTGATTTTTTGAAATAGTTTCGCTTTACAGTTTTAATTATGTTTCGAGTTTTTTTTGAGCAGCTGAAAATCTAAAATTCTATACTGAAAATCAATTTTTAATGTTTTCAAAACATTTTTTAATGATTTTTGAAATACCTACTCTTGAATCCGGAATAGTATAGAATTAATGAGGTGGGAGGAAAATTTTTCAAATACAAATAAATAGGGGTCAAAAATATTTCCAGAATGATAATAAATGGGGACCAGTCCCTTTAGATTGGAAACAGAAGGAATATACACAAGACACTGCCTTCTCAAAATTTGAAAAACCCGTATTTGTAACGTAACAATTGAATGAAAATATTAAGTTCTAGGTTAAATTTTCACTCTTTCTTTTTATTATCTTAACACTTCCAAACGATACGAAGAGCTTTTTGTACACACCTTACAGTTTACACGGGGCTGGAAAATGATTAACGGGGATCTGGAATAAGGATTTAATGGGTATATTTTTCTAAGAAACTTATAAGAATCAAAAGGGGGGTAAATTTATTACTGACTTTTAACAAAATCGTACTTTTTTGTTTTTGTTGTATTTCACTAAGTAAAGCTTTTGAGATAGTTGGAGTATATTTTTGCGTTTACCTTGCTTTTTCAAGAAATGGCGCTACCTTTTTTCTCTGTGATGAAAAGTCATAAAAAGGAAAAATTTATACGAAGTATTTTGAGGCAATAACCCAAAACGAGGAAATATCAAATTATGGGGATAAAAGATTCAATGTGCCTAACGGAATCTGTAATTGCCATTTTAAGAAGTAACCGCGGTTGAAAAGAAGCAAAATATTTATTGCTATAAAGACATTTTAAACATATTATAAATAATTTTATTGCAGCTGGAAAGACAACGACTTGAGAGTAGCAATGATTGGCAAGGAGGTTGACCTTACGTACGAATACGAGGTACCCTATCGAAACTATTTAGCCACTCCTTTTTTAAGATGAGAAAAGAAAGCATTTCAATGAAAGAACAAATTAGAAAAAATTTGAGTATATCATCATAACATTAATTTGTCTAAACAATAGAAGAGTGGCATGCACAAGCATTCGGGTCTTTGGTTGCTTTTTTCTCATAACAGTATTCAAATTCGTCACTTTTTCTTTGAAGAGTGAATTATTCTAACGAAATAAGCTGCGATCCAATGCCACTTTCCAAAATGGTTTTTCCAAGTGATTCTGTGATCTGATGAATTTTTTATGATCTGACAGTTGCACAGTTCTAAAATGTCTTTCTGTTTCAGCATCTTGGAGAAAATGCGAAGGTTCTGGAGGACATTGCTTCTGGTACCCATGAATTTTCAAAGGTTTGTCCCGAATTGCAAAAAATCCTATATTGCAAGATGTCCCATATTGCAAGAAATCCCATACCTCGTTAAATGTCTATGCTACTCCTTCAGCCATAAATTGACACTGCTACTCCTCCAGCCACTAAACAGGTTTGACTGGTTTGGGTGGCAGCGTTTAGACTGAATGACAAAATTAAGCGTACTGCTAAGTCCGTCACGTGCTTGCTCTGTTTAGACTTTCTGTCTTCGTTATGTTTCTGTCTCCATCTTTGCTTTATTTTGCTACAATAAGCTCCCATTTCTCAAATTAGTTCCAAAAAACACCACGACTTTAAATTCCTATAAATCCAAGTCTTGTTCTTATCTATCCCCAGGTCCTACTGGAAGCAAAGAACCCAGTTATCATTGTAGGGACAAACGCATTAAATCGGGCGGATGGCTCAAGCGTTCACGGTCTTTGTGCAACAATATCTAATAGTTTGAAATCTAAAGGAAATGTCAATTCTGATTGGAGGGTGCTAAATATTCTTCACAAGGTTGGTTTTACCACAGTTTTCTTGAGGATTATTGTGGGTAAGCAAGAGGGCCAGTAGTTTAAAAATGTTTTGTCGATAAATACTGATGTGCTATATATTTCCCTATTGAATGCTCTTTAGCAACCTGAAAGATAAATATGACATTGTCTACCTTAAGAAAAAAGTTAGTGCAGATAGCACATCATATTTTGTAAAAAATCTTCTTGGAACTTCAGAAATTGATTAGAAAGATCTCTTGGACAGAATTTAAGGATTACTTAGCCATAATTCGCTGCTCTGATAAAGAGGTTAAACTCTTTTCGAATTTTCAGGTTGCCAACCAAGTAGCGGCCCTTGACATCGGCTACAAGCCTGGCCTATCAAAGCTTGGTTCTCCAAAAGTGCTATACCTTCTCGGAGCTGTGAGTCTTGTTGTTCTGCTATTTTTCATTCTTCAATACATTGAGTGTTATATTCTCACATAGCATTTAAATTGATGTTCTGTCAGCATTATCCAGCTTGGAAAACATACTCCATCCCCAACGTCAAATGGGAACAATTAAAATTCCTAGAACTAACATTTCTCAAATATAAGGTTTCAAATCTGTATCCTTTTTGATTGAATTTTTAAGTAGATTTCGAGCAATTGAAAGTTTGTAAAATCTAAGGGTCACAGCAATAGTGTTTTATGCACACTTGCATATTTTCTTTTCAATATGTCGTGAAACATGTTAAGATCTTTCAAGAGAAAAATATTATCTTTAGGTTTATTACTTTAAGTTTAAGACTTTTAATACTTCTGTACAATTTTTGCAGGATTCTGGTTTGATCTCCAGAGAAAGTCTTCCAAAAGACTGTTATGTCATTTATCAAGGTGTGTATCTTAAGTGATGTAGACGTAGACAGCCTGTCACAATATAGCACAGGCAAAAGGGAAATATTACATCTCCTCGAGAGTGCTAACACTATATTATTTCGTATACGATCATCATATCACACACGACAAGGTAGCTACTGCTACAATAGACAAATCTTCTGCTTAGGAACACTATGAGATGCAATACTTGTATCTTTATGCAATATCCTCTTTTATCTACCTATAAAATGACTTTGCAATTTTTGCAGCATTTAAGAGATTTGCAAAATGACAAAATAAACATGAATATAGATCAATTTCTTGAACAATTGCATTGGTTGATATTTTATAGTTTCGAGAAATATCAATTTTTACTTGTGCACGTGAAGTATTCGTGGTAACGATTGTGTTTAGTCGATAACTGACTGGTATAAAGAAAAAGTTTTGCGAGCAAATGGAGTGTGAGTTTTTCGCGAAGTAATTTGTTCAAAGGCAGTGTTATAGAACATTTATGGCTGTAAGGTACAAGATCTGTGTCAATGAAACATTCCAATTCTTTGTAAAGTCGGCAGTATTTTTTGGTACAGATTTTTAATTTTGGGGGGAAGGAGACGTTTGAACAAGATTTCCCTTTTGCGGTTATTGCCTTATAATAGCTTTTGGGACGGTTTCTCCAAGTCACCATCATGATAACACACGACAGTGCAAAAAATACATGGACGTCTTTACAGGTGATTTGGTGAAAATTTTAATTTGCTGTTGTAAGTATGTGTTTATATATGTACAAGAAGTCGTGTAAACTTGATTTTAGGTCATCATGGAGATGAGGGTGCGAACATTGCCGACGCTATCTTGCCCGGTGCGGCCTATACGGAGAAAACCGCGACTTTTGTGAACATGGAAGGAAGGGCTCAACAAACTAGGTAATATTGCAACCTTTTATGTAGTTCGAATGTTTTATTACTGAAATATGTTTGGTAGATTTGAGAGTTGGTTTTCCATCCCTACATTTTGGATTACTGCCAACTGTAGAAAGCTTTCCTTTAACTCACCAAAAAGTCCAAAGCTACCTGTAATAAGAAATCTAGCTAAAAGAGCATGCGATGAGATGTAGCTTAGAAAGAATGATTTCAGTTTTCAATTTCATTGAAGTAAAATCACATTCTGGTGGCTATGTTAGAAAACTGTTTTTAGAAAACTCGAAAGGCTACCTACAATCACGAAAAAGGCGTCCCAGGAGACACAGTACATATAAAAGCATGTTTGCCTTTTTGCGAACCTGTTTTGGTTGTGTGTCCATTTGAAATATTAGGACATCTACATCATTTATGATGTTAGAGACAATTTTCCTTACTTTTGCGGCGTATGAAAATATCTAATAAAATATATACAATAACTTTGTCACTGTATCCAATTTTGTTTTAGTATCAATGCTTCTTTTCTTACTCTAGGCGCGCTGTCAACCCTCCAGCACTTGCAAGAGACGATTGGAAGATAATAAGAGCTCTGTCAGAGGTGTGTAAAGCCATATTTGCTAGATTTAAGTTCGCGTTCAAAAAATGTATTGAAGTAGGTGGGATTTTGAAAATATATTGTTTCAGGTCAATGCCGTAGTTTAGGCTTATTTTAAAGCATGTTTCTTAGCAGGGGCGGACACTTGGTCAAATATTGGGGGGAGGGGCAAGCCTATTGTTTTAATAAGATGACGTCACATTTCCCATCGTTTTGGAACAATAGACCATTATACTCTAAAGCATTGAAGGGGCGGTGGCCCCCCCTCGACCCCCCTCAGGTGTCCGCCACTGTTTTTTAGTTTATATCAAGTTTTTTGTTCTTGCCAATCAGCCAGTATGTTACAAATGCTATCTAAATGACTGTAACCTATTAGCGTTTATACTATTGATAACTAGTGATGGCTGATAGGGGCACCATCCGTAGACTTCAGTTATCTTTTCGTAGCTTCGTTTCGCAGTTTTTTTTACCTTAATCCTTTGTGCTGTATTAATTCATGCCTGTTGCCTTTAAGGGGCAATCATGGTTTGGTGTGTTTTTGTGTTTCATTTTTGTTTGTTTTGTTTTACCCAAGTCTTCATAAAGAGTAACTGATCTCTTTAATCAACTCTTATAGTTAATACTTATAGTTGATAGTTAGAATTACAGATTATAAGCATCTATTTTGCTAGTACTATAGCGAATGCGCTTTCTGCCAGATTTCTGTACTGGCTGTGGTTGGCTCTGACAGTCTTCAGTTGTTACTGCCCAGTTCAGTTGTAAGGTGTTAGAATGCTTTTTCGAAAGCCTATCAACAAACCTTTAAAAAGTTTTCTGAACATGCAAGTTCACAGAAACTGGAGACTCTCGTTTATTTTACGGAATCTGCTTGGGTTCTGTCAGTTTATAATTTGAAGTAACTTACTTGTTTGCATCAAACTTATGATAAGAAGTTTTGGTAGGTCCTTTCAATTTGGTCGACTAAGCTAGATGCATTAGATTGACTACGAATTTTACAGTTATTTTGTAACAAAAAGGCTTAAGCATTAATGCTGAGATATTTTTTGCCAACTTCTAAAGCAAATTGCTTTTGTAGTTCTCTTTGGTTGATCCTTTAACTCTGTGTTGTCAATGTACTGTGAAGAACCCTTAATTTGGTAGGGAGGCGAAAGTCATTTTTGTAAATGAATACTGCGAAAGTAAATTTTATTACACACAAGATTTGGTGCTCAATGGAGCTGAAAAAAGCAGTAAAGGGAAGCCGAGGACAGGGACACCAAAACACTAGGAAACCAAAACACTAGGACACCAATAAACACTTGCATAAAACCAGCAAATAATTTTACAACAAAAAAGTCAATCATTGAAGTTTTTTTAACTCTCGATAGAAATAGGTTTTTCTTAACGTTGGTTGAAATAACGAATGTTTATTTTTGTTATCTGGTTCTGATGAAAAATTATGTTTTTGTGCCAACCAGCAAATGCTGCCCTTTTTAAATGACCAGCGAATGTTTTTTCAAATTCCATGTTGCTATGGCTAGTGATGTAGCTTTAAATAATTAGCCACCCGTGTACTGTGTATTGGATAAGCATTGGTCATTGGACAACTGCTCTTATGTTGATTGACTCGCAGCGTCATTTATTGAAAGAGAATAAGATTATATAAAGAATACACACGTATAAGAAGCCTGTTTAATTATTCAGCATTAAAACGTCTGCACCTGTTTTTGGATTAGAGAATGTAGCATCTATAATGTGATGTATACCCGCCTTATCATGATTCTCATGGCTTCATTAAATTAAGTTGTGTTATATTATCAAGCGGGTAAACTGATATAAGAAACGCTGTTAATTATGCATTTACCAGTTGCTGAAATTGTTTGTTGGTTGTACTTTTGCTTGTTCAGCGTGCTCAGAGCATTTTCGTCTACTGTTTTAATATTCATTTCAGCGTCATTCATTGGGCTTCTCAGATCAGTTCATAAGCACGTGATTGCTGTTTTTAACAAACCTTATGGACACGAAGAAAGTCTATGTGAATGACAAGAACGAAAGAAAATTTGTGATCACATTTTTAATGATCACAATCTATAGAATCATATTGCCAACCATTAGCATATTAAACATTGATATTACCATCTCAACCACCTTGTGTAATGACTGAAATTTTAACATATTTGTTACACTATGTAACTTTGGTAATACTGTTTTGCTATATTACCAAATAGAGATTTCATTGTGATTTTACCTGATATATTCTGTGTTATATTTGCCACAAGTTATTCCTGCTTACTCTGCTTCAGGAATCCAATGCATACTACTTTTCGTTTTAGATTGGAGGCAAGAGTTTGGCCTATGATAACCAAGACGAACTTCGTGATCGCCTTAGGGACGTCGCTCCCAACCTTACTCGCTATGGTGACGTAGAAGAAGCCAATTTCTTTTCCGTGTCAACAGCTCTATATAAGGTGAGAATTAGCATAGTCAGTAAAAGTCTCCTGTTAGCAGTAACCCTGTTTTACACTAGGATTAGTAGCAGAATCATTTCAAGCAAATCGAAATTATCTACCAATCTTTATCACTGCGTCCATCCTCTTGGCAGTAAATATGTTTCTACCTTTTATCTAAAACCGCTAACTCAGCTTATATCGACCATTACGGTGCCATATGAATCTGGCAGGAAGTCAATTTTAATGAAAATTACAGTTCCATATGTCTATGAAATTTGATTTTGAGAAGTAAAACCTTTGCATCTTTAGAAGAATTTTGATAAACCAAAATTTTTCTGTCATATCTTTATATTTTCAGCGTGTTTTTTGGCGCCACCGCCTCTTTGAATTTCAGAGCTATTCACATCTTTATTTTCTATTACAGAAACAGGAACTGAAAGTAAAAGACGGTGTATTGGAGCCACACATCAGCAGCCTAAGAGATTTTTACATGACAGACTCAATTAGCAGAGCATCTCAAACGATGGCCAAATGTGTAACTGCTGTTGATAATATGCAATAAATGACTTTGTTCGTGATACATCACGTTGAAAATGGTTTCAATTAATGTTTGATTTTATAGGCATATTTCCAGTTTGCTTAACACCCAAATGATGTGCTTGTGGACTTTGTAAAAAGATATAATTTACTTGTAAAAGAATTTCCATCGCGTCTGCTACCTGCTTCAGTTTTCTGAGTGAAAGGTATAGGGTATTCAAAGAAAGGTGAGAGGTGGTCGATTTTGTTGTTACATATACCCAAACAAAAATGAAACTGCCATGTTGTTGTGGTGAATTAAAAGAGCTTCATGTAAATTCAGAAAAGTACCTTGTCATTGACATTCTGCTTAGTGTTTCACTCTTGTTAAATTTCCTTGGTTACTCTGTTTTATCCAATATTGTTTGAAAGGTATCGTGGAAGGGAGAAGGATACAGGGCAACGTGCTTTTTAGCATCTTTCTGAAGCAACATTTTGCATTTGGTTGGGAGAATCAAAAATTATATTTTGTTTTAAATGTTCTTAGTAACAGGAGGTTGATCAGGCTCGTCGCTAGCCCTGGTGCTCAAGGGGGCTATCCAGGTCCCATTTGCCGGCAAGTTTGAAAATCTGCCAACTAAACCCTTAGATGGCAGAAAATTCCTCGTTTTTGCTTCATTTGCAAAAACGAGGAGTTTAATCTTCAAGTATATTACAGTAAATGTCTACAATATCATACACTAGATTTTAAAGCAGAAAAAGTATGTTTCAATGCTAAGCTACAATCTCTACTTAAATGTTTTTGGTAGCAAAAAGGTTTTAGTAAGAGATATGGGGCTAAAAAGGAGCCTTCTGGAGCACCACTGAGATGGTGGCTTTGGTTTCGGCACAAGATATTATTGCCATCATTTCTGCCTTTCACTTTTAAAATGAAGCAAAAACGAGGAAAAACAACATTTATCAACCCCTACGAGAACGGCCTTGAGGTTTCCTGACAAACGTAACTTTGGCTTAGGGCGGAAAAAGCTGAGTCAGCATGACTTATATGAATGAAGCTGTAAACAATCTGTTGCATGCGGTACGGAGGATGTCATGGTGACGGTAAGCTCGATGAGGGGGTTGGAAGTGAGTGGAAGATGGTCTAAGCATAGTTACTACAAGACAAACAAAATGTTGAGAGTTTAGGCATTAGTTAAGTTTTCATAGCTTTTCTTAAACAGTGATAATTTACGCCTTAATTTGACAAATCTCTTTTGGAATTGTAGGTAAGTCTGCCCACCCTTCTAAAATGAAGCGAGTGGATCTTTGATCACCTAGAGTTGTATGAATAACAGTGTAACTTAGACAACGAGACTTGAAAAATAGTTCATCTGAACAATCGTTCCTATTTTGCAATTTTCTAGTAAAGTCTTTAAGTACATTAAAGTAAATGTCTACTATATCATACACTAGAACTCAAAACCGAAAAATTTTATTCCATGCTAAGCAGGTTTTAGCCAGAGGTGGGGGACTAGAAAGGAGCCTTGTAGAGCACCACTAAAATGGTAGCTTGATGTTTGGCAACAGATATTATAGCCGCCATTTCTTTTCTTTCACTTTATCCCAGTGAATTTAATTGAGGCAAAAAAACCAGAAAGTGAATAAACGTGACATGAATTCAATAGTTGCTGTTAGAGACGTCAGCGAAAAGAGCTGCAGGTTTGTGCTGAAGGTGCCATACCTGTGTACATTGGTGTTGGCGTTGCCGACACGTGCGGTAGGTAGGGGAGCTTCGTTGACAGCAGAATTGCGTAAAACAAAGTTGGATGGTACGAGCCAAATTTCTGGAATAGGAGTGAACGCCTCTACCTCGAAAGACCTCCACGGTCTTTACTTAGAAATTTGTCGATATCTTGTTGTTTGCTGTGAAAAAACAAAGCTGAACGCAAGATACAGTTGTAGTGGTACAGTATCTTCCCTGGCGATCCCACGCCGGGACGGACGATGTGGCCTAACCCACATTTGTACCAAACAGCCATAGATGCACAGTGATGTTGTTGGGATAGAAACTTCAAAAACAAAATGGCAGACGAATATAAACATGTGAAGCTTTCGCCAATTCAGCAGATGGTTGCATCTTGCTCTGGTGCTTTTATGGTGTCTTTGTTATGTAAGTTTTGCCACACATGCACGTTTGGCCCAACCTTCCTGGCTTGCCCATTAAATGAAAATGTTACACCATTTGTAGGGCTAAGCTAAGTTAATATCAAAGTAGCCTACTGTATTGGAAGACACGTTCTGCATCTTTCACGGCATTTATCGTAAAGTTTATCTATCTGTTTTCAGTTCATTTTATTTTTAACTGTTGCTTTTGGGCTAGGTAGGGGTAAATACATTTTAGAATACCCATAGCCTTCTTAAAGTAAACCAAGATTGTTTAAAATTATTTCAGATTTCTTAGTATAGATTTTTATGCTAACAAAGCCTGATAGTACAGATAGTGTACGTTGGTACTGTGTGGTATGGTAACTAGGGAAATTTTTCCAAGATCAAATCTTTAAAAATCTAATATGATTTTCATAGATTTCCTACCTGAAAATGAGCTATAAAAATCCCAATATCGTGATTACATTAGTTCATTTGCTGATTTTTGCAGAGAAATCCACACATATATGTTATTAGATTTTTGTCAATTATAAATTTGGGATATAGTAGCAGAAATTTGGGGGTTTGGTAGAAAAGACAAAGTTCCTATAAATAGGTAACAAAACACATTTTCTAGGATGCTTACTTGATCTTTATTTTGTGCAATTTTTTATATTTTGCACTTAATATTTTTGCAGCAACACCATTTGATGTTGTCAAAGTGCGCTTACAAGCTCAAGTGAAACCACAAAGTATGTTTATCCTTCAACCAAGTCAGTAGATTTTCAGATAGAAAATATCCGACAGTGTCAGATATTCAGTTGTTGAGGCTATCATGAAATGAAGAGATATGGTTTGTCCTTAAACAGAAATTCTATTTAAGGACACTTACAGACCTAAATGCCCTTATCAACAAGAATGCCCCCTGCCCTCCATTCAGTCTAAAATTCAGACAATAAATCATTCCATGTTTTTTTGTGTTGAACAGAATTGCATAGAAAGAAGCAGCGAACCTCCATTTACCCAAACTTTACCTTTGATACCGTTTATGCAACAGAATATTTCTGTATAGCTTTTGATATATCAGTGTTATTTTAAAGTCATTTCCTTGATTTGCCAGTGACACTGAACATCAGTAACATTTTCAACTATTTTTTTGTAGCAAGCTCTTGTCATGTGATTGCAAATAGAATTATCAATGGAATGTGTTATTGTGGTGTTGGAGGCACTGTGGAGGGGGGCTTTACTTGCCTCATACCACCAGAGGCATCAGCAATCAAGTTCACATCAACATCTGTAAGTTTACTCTAATGTACACACTTTTTGGCATACAAACTTGCAAGTTTTTCATAAACCTATATTCACAATGTGCATTAGTAGTGTCCTATATTCTTAGTTGATTATATTAAGCTTTTGAAAATGCCTTTTCTTAGTTGCTTATATTTTGTTTAAAGTGATGCTTAAGGGAATTTTTCTAGATTTGCCAATTGCTTATCTTCAGCAACCATATGCAAAGACTGTTGCTGTGGTCACTGATGGTATCTCTATTGATATACCAGTTCATCCACTTTCACCATGAGTCATTATGTCTTGTTTACAATCTCCATTTACCATTATCAACAGGTGTCCTTTGATGGCATGCCAATGTATTCATTGTAAGGTTGATATTGAAAGCAAAAACCTGCTCTTTCTTAATATAAAATAATACGAATTCTGTTTTATGAATAGCTGTTTTCAGAAAAATATGATTTTGCATGCATAAAATTATTTATTCCTTACATACAGTTACTCTGATCACAATTTTATTCAAGCACTTCTAAAATCTTGTCTTAGAAGAACTCTGTGAAGAGAATTATGCACTTTAATTTGTTAGTTGATATCTAGGCTAACTAAATTAAATGATATATATATTAGAAGATTTCAACACATAATGAGCTTATTATTTCATGTTCTTAAGAAATCTATGGAAACTACTGGCTGTGTCCCAATCTGTATTTTGTCTTTGATATCAGCTTTAATCATTCATGGTTTTTTGCAAGGCATCATTTAGACATATATAAAGTAAACTCTGTTACATTTTTTTCAACTGGTTTTCCGCTTAGGTTCTTGTTTCAGATACCAAAAACCCATGAATTTTCCCCTTTGCTTAGGCCCAAAACCCCCTCCCCCCCAAAAAAAACTTTCAATAAGCCCCCACACTTCAAATAAGAACCTACCACTCAAATAAGCCCCCACACCTCAAATAAGCCTTCTAACGTGCTACTTTATCCATTATGAATCACATCTTTAATGAAGGATTTAAAACAAAACAAAAATATACAATGTTCACCTTTTCCACAAAAATGAAAGGGTTTGAATGTTGCACTTGCACTTGAATGAACCTTGTATATTAAAGAACAAGTGCCAGGATGTTTTATTCTGAGCTGGCATTTTAACAAAAGGCTTATGGGTTATCTTGCAGCCGTCGTTGACCATCATCAGTAATATTCAAGCCCAAGATATCTGTTTTGAGACTCTACCTGATCATAAGTTCCTACATAGCTGTCAGAATCAGCATTCTAATAGGTGATATAAATCCACAGAACACATGTTTTTACCAACATTTTCTTTTCAACTTTAGGATGCTTTTACAAAGATATTCCAGAATGAAGGACTTTTCAAGCTGTGGAAAGGCCTTCCAGCCACGTTGTAAGTATTACAAATAATTCTTTTATGAGGCTCTTAAAAACCTTGAAAGTGCAATTAACATGAAAAATCAAAATTTTGCAAAAGGTTTGTAATTAGGTAGTAAACATCACTGATTCTATATCTGCAATTTTTTTTCAAAATAAGGGCTATTAGTTCATTTTTCGGGAGTTTACGTCAGTGAAGGATGATGTTTCAACCCGATCAGAATGATCCATTACCACCTTCCTCTGATGTATGTGAACAGGGGGTGGTGAAGCCGAACCTTTGCTTATCATTCAGATTTTATATTCCGATAAAGATAACAAAAGGTTATGTGAAAAACTTGGATCAACTTTCTGTTGATTCATCCATTTTTTCCTAAATAAGACACACTTTACATCCAAAGGTAAAAAAAAAACTTTTTGATGCGGCCTGAATTTTCCCGAAAATTTACATTCAAGATGATACCTCACAACCTGATTTGAACTGATCTCCAACACAAGAGCCAAGGCAAGACAACTGAATTGACTTAAAACAACAAAAAACCATGTATATAACATATATATGCAAAAAACCCTAACCCCTAAATTTATTTGTAAAACTGTTGCCAATCGATTGAGACTTTGTAGAGTTGCTAAAATTGATGTACATAGTATATTTTTAGGCCCTCCTGGTTTTTTCTTGGTTTTGTGTGAATCTCTAAAATGTCCCCCAATTGAGCTCCAAGCTGAAGCCTTATAACAGTGATCTCAAGTTTCTATCTCCCAAAAAAACTTTTGTAAAACTGTTCTGAATCGATTGAAATTTGGTAGAGTTGTTATTATTCTTGTACTTAACGTGTTTGTCAGTGGCACTTTCAATGAAAACTGAAGTTTGCAATGAAGAAATTTTTAATCTGTTCTTAAGCAATGAAGAAATGTTATTTTAAAGTTTTTAATCTGTTTTTATGTCATGGCCTAGTCCCCCTCTTTGAAGATAGTTGATTTCTGGCAATTTCAAAGAGGAAATGGAAACTATAGCATATGGTACTAGCTTATGTTAATAAACTTCATTTTACCCTGTAAAGATCCTGCCTACTGTTTACAACCATCTGGAAATGTTTAAGGCAAAACAAAAAACAGTAGTTAGTTTTCTGCAACATTCTTTTCATTAAGCATACTGATATCCCCTTTAGGAAATTTTCTAAGTTTCTCACAGTCACTTGCACTTTGTTGTTCCAGGGTGATGATGGTCCCTCAGACAGTTGTCTATTTCACTGCCTATGATCAACTGAAGGTCCGACTAGGTTTGACTGAGGGACAACATGTTGTTTATGCTCCAATGGTTGCTGGTATGAGTGCTAGAGGTAGGTCACTTTGTTTTTTGGTCTACAGTTTTTTAGTCTTAATTTGTGACAGTCATTATTCAGTAACAATTTGGTAGGTCTTGGACATACCTACATCCATTGTATCCAATCCCAGCAATGGCTTTGTGGGAGAGGTGAAGGAGCGATTGTTTACTGGCTCTATTTTGCCATAAATTTCTGAGTTTTGCCAGATGAGCAAAAAAAATTATTTTTGCAAATTTTTAGAGTTTTTGCAAAATATAAGAAAAAAATTATTTTTCAGTTATGCAAAATCATAGTAGAAAATCAAAATTTGTTGGACTTTCTTTGATTAGAATTGCTTGTTCATGACCTTGGACATGCTTTTGTCCAATCTGTACAGAAATAAAACCAATATCCCTGAATTGTTGTTTTTATTGAACAATTGTTGTAATTAGTTAAAAAAGGGCACAATTCCTTCTGTAATCTTTTCGTATTAACAGCTCTTATTTGAGAAAGAGTTGCCAATTGTTAAATTTTTCTGTATATATACTTTTTGCCAATGATGCATGATTTTTTATTTTGATTGATTTTGATTGATTTTGATTGAATCAATATCTCCTGGGATGAGCAGGTAAAGTCCATCCATTTCCTATCTGCCCAACGCTATTATTTTGTGAAATGTAGCATTTTTTATATTATTACATGCAATCCTAAGTATATTCACAGAAAGCATGAATTCCATTTCTAAACTAGCATAGTTTCCATGACACCTGAATATTAGTAACATGCAGACTTTTTGTGGCAGTTTTTTGCTACCAAATGGCCTTAAGGTTTGCAGAATTTCTGTTTAAAATACATCCATGAAATATCAATCTATTATGAATTGTTTAAATTACCTTTGCTTCTAAGTTGAATTAAACAACACAGCGACGCTCATTGAAGCATTTATTTTCCGCAGTTTTTGCCGTGGCTGCCATATCCCCCATAGAGATGGTTCGCACGAAACTGCAATCAAAGAAAGGATACAAGTATACTGGTCAGTCAAAATGCTAATTACGTTGTTGCACAAGTATCCGTTTCTATTTTTTTAATGACTGATGAGTCATGTGATGAAATAAATTCGATTATTGCTAGATATAAACTTGAATTCCATCATAACACCAAGTGCAGAAGAGGATTTAAAAAAATATACTGTTAGAAAATTTTTGCAAGTGACACGACCAGTGCTTGATGGTCCAGTTGATAGACCAACGCCCTTTGTTCTCCGGATTGAAGAAATGGGAAATTGATGATTTCACAGCCCAGATATTTGGCCTCACCCTCAAAAGCAGTAACATTAGCAAAATCTTTTTACTTTTGCTGTGATGAAGCCCTGTATGCAAAGGCGAAATATTAGCCATCACTGATTTGTGTGTTTGTTGTTGTTTATTCTAGTCGCGTTGCGGTTTTCCTTATACACTACTATTAGTAAAATTGTTTAAATCTCATAAGTCTTTCACTTTTGGAATTGAAACTATTGTGCTATTTGAAAATATCAATGTTGCATGTGTATCACATTTGGTCTGTAGCACAAGAGGACTGTTGCCTTATGATTGCATTCAACATGAAAATACCTAATACCGTCCTTCAAATTTGAGAAGTATAACTCTACTGATAAAGCATTGATCACTTTGTAACAGAATCTTCATAATGAACTAAAATTATATGTTTAGAAATACTTTTATTTTAGAGGTATTCTCAGTTATCAAAAATGCGATCCGACAAGAAGGAATACTCTGCCTTTGGAGAGGCATGGGGCCAACTTTACTCAGAGACGTACCCTTTTCTGGTGAGTCATTATATAACCATTTTATCATGTTTTTAGATAAACAGGCTCTGGAGACATTCAAATAAAACCTGGATGCTCAATTGATCTGCTGGTATAATGTTAGACGCGGCGATATAAGGCAATTTAATCAGTTATCAATGTATGTGAACCTCAAGTCGCACCTTAGCTTTGTGAGTGTAGCATGTCGTTTTTTACTCCACGTTTTGTGTTGTCAGCAAATCGGTTAGTAGCACAATGTTAACCCTTTTTGGTGCTTTTTTCCCAAGCATTTTATTGGTCTGCATACGAACTTATGAAGGCACGCTACGAAGAACCAACATTTGGAACAACTTTTGCTGCTGGTGCAAGCTCTGGGATGGTGAGAATTACGTTTTCTACTCATACGAATTTCTACCTGTTCTGATATATTATACATGGGATAGTCGAGGACCCGAACAATCTGTGAACGGATTTGATAATCAATGACCTTTGAGGCTATACTCCCACCCCTTCCAATCTTTATAATATTTATTTTATGGTTAAAGACTTTCAATCTTCCATCCCGCTGGAAATAAAAATGCTTTCTGCGTTCTTTTGCAGTGACTCGTTGATTTTGTACTTTTTGAGGAGCAACTGTACTTTTTAGAAAAAAGGATAAGCCTGATTTAGTTGAAAATTCTTGTTCCTGTTCTGAACATGTTCTGCCTATGACACTCATTTCTTCGCCTTATAACATAAAAGCTTGATACTGGTGACTGGGTGAGGTGATATTTATGCTTGTCAGTTAGCCGAGTCTTTTCTTGCTTTGTAGCTTGCTGCAGCTTTAACCACGCCCTTCGATGTTGTCAAAACACATCGTCAGATGGAGCTTGGTGAACTTGGCTATGGTAATATCTTTATTTTGTTTAATTTCTAACAAAAAATTATTCATCTAATTGTTAATACTCTTTATGCCATTGTGGCTTATTTTAATAGAAAACTAGGAGCCTGGGATTTTTTTCTTGGAGCTTGGGACCTTATAGATCTGCAAAACTGGAAGCCCTGGACCATTTTTAAAGCGACTGTATACAGCAAAGCCTTTGCATCCTATGACTCAGATAGTGCCACCGTAGTGCTTAGGCAGCCCTACCTTGCATTGAAATAGTAACTAAAATGATTGACCTATTTCCTAGTATAACCAAATACCATATAGCAGACCTTCATACTAGCATAGTATGTATTTTCTTCCTTCCTAAGTGACATTAAAAGAATAATTACTGCTTGAGAATTAGAATCTCCAAATATCTACTCATGTCCTGCTCTATCAGCTTTGAAATCTAAAAACCTTGTTTGATCTCAACTATTTTCTTTTTAGGCAAGCTTGGTCAAAAACGTCTCCCATTCACATTCACCCTTGTCTTCAAGCTTTGGGCTGAACAAGGATTCAAGTCACTTTTTACAGGTGAGTCCGCCTGATATAGATTTTTGGCACTTGTACGTGTTGTGTTTTAGTCAATGCAAACGATTCTAAGGTACTTTTGAAAGATGCCTACATCTTTGTTCGCATATAAAAACATGCGGACCCACAAACTTTGAAATTTGTATTTGACTAAGATGTTGGCCTTTTGAAAACAATGGTGTGTTTTTCTCGCCATTCACTATTGAAATAATATCATTTGTGTGTGCCAGATATTATAAACTTGAGTTTATTGTCAAACCCATCATAAAAGCGACTTTCATTTCTCTCGCCAGATCCAGATCGCTAGGCATTTGCTCCCTCGCATAAACTGTATTTTCACCATATTTAGCGCTGTTGTCAGCCAATCGAAAAAGGTCTGATGAAATAGGGAAATCCAGTGCAAGTACAACCATGTTTAGAATTTTAAAGATTTTGAAATGGACTTAGGGCTGAATCTGCTTTTGCCCGCAATCTAGAATTTAGCATAGGATTTTAATAGATCTAGGGCTTTGCATAAGATTAAAGCTTATATACTTTGTTGTATTTGTATTCTACGTTCTCTGCCTGTACAATCGCTTATAAGGCTCATCCAAGAAAACCTAGAGATGAAAACTTCCAGTTTGATGACTTTAGGCTAACTTTCGTTGTTTGTGAAGAAAAATCAACATGGCGATTACGAAGCACCAAACTTAGGCGACAGTCTTGCTTTATAAAAATTGTTATTGGCTGTTAATCGCCATCAGTCAAGTGTATTCAAGCCAGCTTTTACGGAGGTAATCCCTCTTTGAATTCCGTTGAACATTGTAAGTAGACTTAAGCCCGTTCCACATCACATTGCAGGTATTGTGCCGCGTCTTGCCAAGATCACGCCTGCCTGTGCAGTTATGATCAGCACGTATGAATACGGAAAGAAATACTTTCGCAAGAAAAACGGGCAAAGACAGGAGAGGGAGTTGGCTGGTCAAGGATTGGCTAAGTATTCTTAAGGGTGAAATTTGCCGCCAGAGTACCGAACTACCTGTAACTTGAGAAATCATTCGGCGGGCAGCCACAATGAATTAGAGGCCCGCCTCGTACTGGATTGTGATGCTTGCCACTGTGGTTCTGTGGCGTATCATTCTTATGAATCCATTTCGCAGCCGTTGACGGTAAAAATGATTTTTGCGGTATCCGTGTGTTTTGAATCGAATCTATAACGATCCGCGTGTCTTTAAACGGGAATCCTATTGTTTTGGAGTGCTTAGAGCATTGATAAACCCACAATCAAGTCTGATTGTTTTTCATGTGAAGTATGTTTCCCTAAGATAAAGCTTAGTTTTGTTGGTATCTGTTGAGATGATTATTAACTTTTCAATATGCGAAACTGTTACAGTGATAGCAATAAATTTCTTACAAATATTTCGATATTTAGTATAAACTATTCAAAAATCTGTTATTAAGTAAATGAATTAGATATTGCTGAAATTTGTATTCTGGAGAAATTTTGTACCCTGAAGGCTTCAAATTTTACACCGAAGTATACTAAAGTTATTTGGTTCACGTGTTAATGTTATGGCGGAACCTTGCATCATGGGCTTAGCTCACTGCAATTTTTGAAATGGAGCACAGATTTTTGCCTTTCAGACAACTTTGACTGGCGGATGACTCACTAAATTTTTGTTCTTGTAAACTGTAATTCCCATCTGCAAGCATTGACCTTAGAATTTAAAGTAGGCGGGTAGTTTTTGCTTTTTTAGACCTTCTCATTCATACCTAATGGAACTTAGCCCTTCTTATCCAATAAGATGTGCTTAGTTTATTTAATGGAATCTGATATTTTGGGCTTGTAAAAAAGATTGGTTGCTTTTAATCCAGCTTTATGAAATTTGAACGCCCAACTTTCAGGCGTCAGTTTGCAGTAGTTCAATCTGTTTTTCCTTCAGCTGTCCCATTGTTCCTCAATCTTGAGAAATTCTGCTCCACCGTTGTTTAAAAATAGCGAATCAAGGTTAAATTGCGAATTAAGGATGAAATATATAAAATATTTGTAAAGGTTTTTTGTTTCCATTTCAATATTTAATGATTTTGTTACCAATTCCTCGAATTCTTGTACAAATTTACGCAAAATGGTCCCCACATGTATATAAATAAGGAAGTTTTCCATTTGGAAGCAAACCCTCTCTCTCCTTTACGCTATGCACCTTTAAGGCCTTACCATTTTGTGGCACAGACAGTCTATAAAATAAGTAACTGGATAATGATTTTTGTTTGTAGAAACAAGTGAGCTTTTGTTCTTTTTAGTACACTTATATTAATTAATCATTTGTTTGGTTGTTTGCTTGTTTCGCTATTAAAAATTAGAACGATCCCTCTGGCGACTTCACTACAAGTATACTCTGAAAGCTTGCATCCAAAGTTACGCCTATCATCCACGCCCAGAAAACATTCTCATAGCGAAATAGATGGTAGCTTCTGTACTCTTCAACCGTTGCCCTGAAGCAAATTATCAAGTCGTTTAAGTGATAGTGAATTTTTTTGTAAAAATTAATCTGATGAGTTAATAGATAATTATTTTATCATCCATGCAACTTGAATGAGGTACAACAGTTGATAGAGAACCTCTTCGATTTTTATTCTCTTACAGACAGAGTTTGAATAACATACTTGAATTGTTGAGTTAAAATGCTAACACGCTCTACTGCCTTTATCCTTAGATATTATATATGAATAACAATATTTAAAATTTTGAGTTGGTGCAGAAACGAGCTATGGTTGCTTTTTTTAGTACTTCACTTCTTGAATTTATTTTGGAATCTTTTCAAATAGAACCCATAAACTGAAAAGCATAGAAATACTTTTCCTGTTGGATATGCTTTATTTTAATATTTTTTCCTTAAATCGTGCCCCTTTATCGCTGAATCCACTTTTCAAAAAGATTAAGCACCAGTCAGATAATCCGTGAAAGCACAATATAATGTATTCAGGGTATACGCAAAATCCAGCCAGGAATCCAGGTTATGATTATGATAGAGAAATTATATGTCATATATATAATATATATCTGTCATTGGTCCAATACTCAACAGTTCACAAAAGGTGACTTTTTACAAACATTACACCATATATGAACAAGACTGTCTCTTCGCAGATGATTCAAATCTAATGCGGGAAGATGGAAATAAATAGTTAATTAGATCTGCTAAATAAATGATTAAAAACAAATGAACCTAAAGGTAGACATTCAAAGACTCATTTCTGCATTTTGACCCAGCTCCAAAAGGATTTACCTCTGATTTTTCCTCTGTAAAATGGAGGATGAACTAAAACCAATGGATAAAGCAAAATATCCTGGAGTGCAGTTAAACGAAATGCCAAGAAATAACAAAATTTCCGCCAATATTTTCATTACTGCGATTTTACATAATGAAGGGATTTCAGAAACTTTTTATATGACGGTAGTCTTACCGAAGATTTTCTATGCATTTTTTGTATCTCTTCTCTTTCTAATAAACCTAATGCACGACAATTCTTCAATAATTTATACGCTAAAAATCAACCTGATACAATGTTTGAATTTAAAAATAACGTTACTTCCAAGAGGTTGCGTTTAATCTATTTTCATAACAGATATCCTGACGTTTTATACTCTTTCAAAGAATGTCAGGTGTAAAGCTTCAGTATGTCTTAAAATGTTTGCTTTTCAAAGCCTTTTAACTACAATCAATTCTGCACAACGATAAAAATAATTCAATCTCGGCGAAAACAGATTACGATCGATTTTATATAATTTATTGCTAGCATGGTAAAAGTTTATTAATAACAACTAATAACAACTATATGCTGTAGATAGATTGTCGTATAGAATTGTAAAATTAGTTGTTTTGTTGAGTTTAGGCCGCATAAGTTTGACAGGGCCGGCGAAACCGGGGGACCAAGGCCACTTTTCTGCAGAGCAAAAGAACCTTTCGAGGCAAAAGTGGAAAGAAATGTACTGTATCATTCTCTAAGTAACTCTGCTTAGTATTCCCTTAAATATGCCCTTAGCTTAATGTCTTTACCATAGAAGACATATAAAGTTGAATAGTGGAACTTAATTGAAGAAATCGGTCATTGTCCAAGTTGTACAACGAGTAACAGCAAGACAAAAATAGGAACAGCTTGGTAACAGCTTGGCTTAGGAAATTGATCGAGAAATCTGATCCAGAATAACTTGGTGCCAGCACAAATTGACGAAGTTTCCTTTTTCTCTATGGCCTGGGCTTGGCTCACAAGGTCTATTTGTTAACAAAAACTTTTTCAGAAACATAACAAAAAGAGAGAAGTCATCTGTTGAAGGGAAAGAAACGGCTGGAGAGAACGTTTTTGAGGATGTAGGGAATAAAGAATGGGCAAATTTGTTTCTAAAAAGAATCATCAAGAAAACTTAAAAGTTCGATCGCTTGGATAATCAATTCCTACTAAGAAAGAGAAAATAAAGACGCAATTGTAAATTCTATTAAAACTCGTTTTGATAAGCCCGATTTCAAAGTTTTTCAAATCTAGAGTGAGTCTTTTTGTTAGAAACACTTGGTTTTCAAAACGTTTAAGATCGGATGCTACAAAATAATATCCCAACTGTACCAAAATGCTTAATATCAATTTTTATTTTCTGTTTCACTGTTAATGTTTTTTATTAATGTGTTATATTTATTTATCTTCCCCATCCTATTCTGGGTACTTTCAAAATCTAAAAAAAAAGTTTCATTACGAGCTATATCATAAAGGTTATTCTGAAACTTTGCAAGACTTTTCCTATTTCAAGTTAACATTACAATAGACTACACATATGGGACATGCTGATAAAACAACGCTAACGTATACTGTCTCGGATTTTTCTTCAGTCAAAATCCATTTTAGATATAATTTCTCGCAACCCCTAAGACACCATAATTCTCAAATTTTTCCTGCCGCCAACCATGGTAGCGGCCTTTCCCAATTCCTTTCAAGACCTTGGTATTTTGGCCCTTCCACTGTAAAATAGGTTTTGTCGGCCATGTTTGACAACTGAGGGTCGCGATCATAAGGGTCTCAAGATAATTTTATGTCCATGTTTTAAAAAATCGTTAAGTTCACCTTGTTTGCAAAAACTTTAAAACTTCTTCAATCAAAAAAAAATTCTTACATCTTGCTGTTTTGTGCATCTTGCTGTATTACTTATTTTCAAAGTAATTTCTTATTTTATAGCAAGTTATTAGTTTTTCTTTTTTTTAGAATAATCTTGTGACTACAGTAGTTGTGATCGCGTAAATTTTTCTCGTTCAGTGGTTGTATTCATGATTCATTACTTGCTATTAGATTTAGCTCTAAATTTTAAACATTCATTTGCGGTCTTGCCCTGATAAGCTTTGGATCCACTGAATCGCATAAAATGCATATAATAAATTGATTGATTAATTGTTTTACTGATTACACGATTGATTAAAGTGCTTGATTGGTTGCATGCGATTGCGATGATTGATTTGACTCGTAGATTTTTTTGATATGGGAGAATCACTAATAAATCAACATTTGGCGCTGTTTATATGCCGAAAAGCCGCCGGTTCACACATGTTTACAAAAAAAACTTGAAAAACTTGAATTTCATTTTTTTCCGTCAATTTGAATTAATCAATCCGGGATATTGTTTCTAGAATTTCTATGTTGGCTGTGTCCACTTCAGCTTGTGTTCGCCTGTTCCTAGATCCACGTATGCATGAAGCCATGAAGGCGCACCTTTCATACAAGACAGCTCGTTTGCTTTGCATTGATCGAGTGTCATAGACTCTCTTAGCTAGCAGTGCAAGTTTCTCCTCAAGCGATTTGTTTCTTTCATTTCATTGTTGTTAGGGGTTAATTCAGTTGCTTGTTGCTTGATATTCATTGATAACTGACTCGTCACTCTCTTTGAAAAAAACATATTCTTGGTGAGCTATCTCAGAAAAAATCGGTATGCCAAGTCCTCAATATCGGTATTGACTCGTAGATTAATTGGGTGATTGACTGACAAACAGTCATAAGCATCGTATGATTGTGGTTTGATATCCGTGTTTTGTTATTGCAGTATGATATCCGTGGCCAAATATCCCTTATCTCAGAATTTTTGTAGCATTTCGTATAGGAGTTTGTTGGATTGACTGACAATTGTTGTCACTTTAACGCATAATGCCAAAATTTAATTGAAATTCAGAATTTCCAAATATTTCACAATTGACCTAGGAAGTACCCCTCCCACTGGCACGATATTGTTGCCGAGGCAACTGTGAACAGATTCTCCACCGCAGGCTGTGATGCGCTGCACAAGCAAATAATAGAAACGACCATGTGACACTCCCCAATACTCTCCGCGATGTCCCGTATGAAATTTGAAGGTTCCCGTATGGAATGGCAAGATTTGATTGGCTTAGAGATCAGATTCTATTGAATTTGCCATGGCGCCTTGTGTTTCATGCTGAATACGCTTCAATCTCGTTTGCTAAAGCGTTGGGTGGCTCATCTGGTGAATCTGTGGAAGTACATCTCCAAAAAGAAAAGATGGCAGAGCGAAGAACGGAATTGTTCACGCTTGCAAAATTAGCTGAGCAAGCTGAAAGGTATGAAGATATGGTTAAAAAAATGAAGGAGCTGACAGAGCTCGGGGGTGATCCTTTAACTGAAGATGAAAGGAACCTGCTGTCAGTGGCCTACAAAAATGTGGTTGGGGCGCGCCGGTCAGCGTGGCGAATAATCAAAAGTATTGAAGAGAAAGGAGCTGATAAAGGGGATGAAACCAAGAAGAGCATTGCTTCAGAGTATTTGGTTCAGATTGAGAAGGAATTGGAGGAAAAGTGCAACGAAGTCCTGAAGCTAATTGATGACCATCTCCTCAGTCAGTCCAAGGAACCAGAGGCTAGGGTTTTCTATAGGAAAATGAAAGGTGATTACTATCGATACTTGGTCGAGGTGAGTGAAGGCTCAGTACGGGATGAGAGAGCAGATTTGTCATTTGATGCCTACCAAGATGCTTTTACCATTGCCCAGTCAGACATGGACACAACCCATCCCATAAGGCTTGGCCTGGCTCTGAATTTCTCTGTGTTTTACTATGAAATCAAGAATGATCCCGGAAAGGCGTGTGAGCTTGCCAAGACAGCCTTTGATGATGCAATTTCTCAACTGGATTCAGTTAAGGAAGAATCATACAAGGATAGTACATTGATCATGCAGCTTCTAAGAGACAACCTTACATTGTGGACGTCAGATGCTGATGCAGATGAGGGACAAGATTAACAAGGACTAAATTAAGAAACATTTGACTGTTGTCATGAACTTAGGCCAATAATGTCCTGGTAACACAATGTCGCACTCTGACAGAGAATGAGAAAGTTTAAATTGAGGCGGATGGCATATTGGTTAGTATTTAAAACCTTTCTATTAAGACATAAAAAACTTGTGAATTTTAACTAATTATTTGATGATTTTCACTTAGCTTACATTTTAGTAGGAAGTAACGAAGTAACATGAGCAAAAAAATACATTCTCCTCAAACAAAGAACCACCCATTTCGTCGCTAACTTTTGAATCATACTGAAAGTCTACCATATTGCCATTTATAAAGAAAATATGAACAGAAGTAGTGATAAAATTTAGCGTTGATCAACGATGACATAATTGTATTTTGTTTTGTTGAATACTAATCGCTTTTATGAAAAGAACAGGAAGTTGTCAAGTGAGCGTTTGAATCTTGAAATGCTTGTGTGGAATGCATACGCGCATACCATTTACTGACGAATGACTGACTATCTTGGTGGCACTGTGAATCTTTAGCATGCTGTAACGAATATTCGATGCCTTGGATATAAAAACTAACATAAAAGTTCAGGTGTATGTAATTGGTAGATAAATGTTTTATTAAATAAAGTTCATTATGAAATTTCCTATTGGTCGGAAGACCACAGAAAATTATCTTGGAAATTGGTTTTAACCAGAGATGCCTCATGTCACCATAGTTTGGCATATGTTAGATAGGAGTACTCTTTGGTCAGTCTGAAGGTTTTAACATAGAGGAAACAACTGGAAAGATTTTCCATGATTGAAATGCAACATGCTAAAGTGTTTTTGGAATTGGCAGGTTTACAATGTTGCCTTTTTCATGCAGCTGTTGTGTTTTAGCCAGCAAGGAGTACTCCCACTTTTTTGTTGAACAACTGTTTTCCCACACCACTGAGCTGCAGCTGCATATGTGCTTTGCGTTACAAATAGTTCTGATCTTTACTCATTTTTTTATTCTTGTTCAGTAATTTTAGCTCAAACTCCACAGAATCCTATGCATTTTTAAGATATTGCACAGTTGAAAGTCATGTGAAAAGTTGATCAACTGAAACCACCTTCAATCGAAATAAAAAGACATTGCCTCATAGTAACATTTGAATAAATACAAAGGGTTAAATGTATAACTGTCTTGTAGTCAAGAATGATAGATTAAGATATGGTCATGGTTAGTGTCATATTCACAAGGCCTTTTTGCAATATTTAAACTCAAATCTCTTTATATTTACAAGAAAAATATTAATTGTTTATCTCAAGCATAATATTTGGCATCTTTGACAAGATTTAGTTGACTTGCCTTCCTATTGATTAAAGAAATTAAATCAATTTTCTTCATATCACATTACAATAAATCACATTTTGAAGAGTAAAATCTTCTAATACGCAATTTCTACATAATCTGTTCATAACTATATAATGGGCTTTATACTCTTTGCTGCAGAATCATGAATTGTTGTTTTTCAATGCATGTTTCACGCCTGATATAAAATTTTGTAGTTTTCTGATACAATTAGCAGCAAAATTTCCCTAACACAAAGCAGTGGAGAAATTTTCCAACAATCTAGAATGCCATTTCTTGTTCTCAATATTTTTAAGGTAGGGTAATTCCATGTCAAATCAATACAGCCTTCACTTCTGTGACACCCATGTACTCAGATTGATTCATAACTCTGGTCAGGTAGTCCCTTTTATAAATTGAAAATACACAGAAAATTTCAGCTCAGTACCTTGTATCGTTTCTGAGTTATGAGATGTTACATATTGATGACCACACCCTTATGCGAAGAAAGGCACCGCCCATTTTTACAAGAAATGGCTGTAGAATAATGGTCTGTAATCAAGTACTATATTTTAGATACTGTTGAAATTATGCAAACTGATGGAACTTGCTATGGAGATTCCAAATATCACATGCCAATTTCTGTAAACCTCACAGTTATCATTCTACAGCTGATTTAAATTGAAATAGTTGGTCAAAACGTTTTCGCAAACATTGCACTTTTGAGTGTAAATGGGTCCAAACAGATCATGATGAAATTTGACATGAATCAAGTTGACACTGCTTAAACAGACTATGAAGTTTGGTGATGGTGTTGTGTGTGCTTTTAAAGATACAAAGGGTTTAAAAAATTTGTTATTGTGTTTTTTTGTGCACAGATGCTGACATACTGCTTTGTTTCAAATGCACATAATAATTAGAACTACTTTATATTTATATCTCAGTTATTAAGCAGGACCCCAATAACAACAGTATAAAGATGGTAGGTTGTCCCTGTAAAATATGGCTGAGTTTGGCTTGTGTAGATTTACAAATAATAGAAATGAATAACAAGCATAATTCACATATACTTGCGTATGAAGGTGAAAGGGGAGTAGTTCAGGGTCAGTCTATATTTTTTTCCTACAATAAAAGATTAAAAGGGGGTACAAATGGTATTGTAGAAAGCTTGGAATTTGGATATGGCTTGTCTTGATCATTAATGTTACTATTATCATGTAAGAAGCAATTTCACTCTCTCAGCTTTGCAATAAACTAGCCTATGGCTAATCTACTCAAACAGGATATTCAGAAAATACAACACATTTTGAAAAGGAAACAGATATATAACATAATAGAAATCTTATTGGAATTCTCTGTGTCACCTTGCCTGTTTTGGTACAATATTAATGCATAAACTAATCTGATAAATTTTATCACAGGAACTTACCAGTATTGTAAAAGGGTGCCCTGCTTATGTAAACATTGTTGCTGGGCAGATTATTTACAAGAGGAAATAGGGTATGATGTCATACCCATCTTAGGTATTTTACTGTTTAATGATTTCTCAGCTTCATTTTTTCTATAGATGGTTAATTGGTAGCATTGTTCCCAGGCATTAACCATTTTGCTAAAAACTACAAAGATTTATTCTTCAGCCTTTTTTCCTCATAAAAATGGAAATATGTATATATATATACTTAGGTGTGACACAGGCCCCGAAGATATATAGATGTTGCACAAGTTTTCATGAAATTCCAAGCAAATTCAATACCCTGATGGTTTCTCCAGTAAAAATATTTGCATTTACTACAACAAAAAACCTTTTTTAGACATCATCATTTGTTGAAATTATTTTTTTAAAGTTTTCGTCTTCAATTCCTTTGATCTATAGGTTTTTAACAAGTTTTCTGAAAGGAAGCAATTGCAAAACCTGGAAACATGATACTGTATACTGCATCAAAATATTAAAGATGACCAATTTAGAGTGGTTCAGGCTGTGTTTTTTCAAACTACCTTTGTTGATGATTTAATTTTTTCAACAAAATGAAACAAGGTCTCACCAAGATTTTAACCTGATTTGTCAAAGTTAACTATGATATCCTTAATGTGTAAGACATTTTTCTTATGCTGGGTTATGTATCAATGAAAATTTGACGATAGGAATGCCAACATGCAGTTATGTTTGGTTATGAGTTACAAATTATTCCCTGTATGTTTATGAGGGCCAAACCCAATCTACCTGCTGCATGTTGGGAACCCTGGGAATAGATCTATATTCAAAGTAACCTGTTTATTATGTATTGAACAAAACCACGAGATTGTTTACTTGCATCTTACCGGCATGACAACATATTGACTATTGCTTTGCAGAACCATTTAGTTTCTTCAGATTTGTTTCCCTTGCTGCTGTCTATTTAGTGATAATGTCAATGCAAGTAAGTAAAGTTTTAAACTGCAGGAATCGGTTTCAAGCGCTGAAGCTTTTCTACTGTGCTTTTGTAATTACCAGATGGCATGTCCAAACTCATCTTCACCGGTGTCCAAGGTTTTCACTGAAACTAAATATGAAAAGAACTGATGTTATGTCAAGTTCTCCTATAACAAGTTTGATAAATTTGAGAGTAGAATGTTTAATTAGGATTTAGTCATTCAGTTCAAATTTCAGAGCTTTTTCTGAAAAGTTCTAAACGATCTAGTTTATTTGAAATAGGGAGACTTTAAATCAATATTTTGAAATACATTTTGTTTTATCCGACAAGGAATGAAATGATGATGCCACCACTATCGATCATCAGCTAAGAGCCAGTTGTCCCCCAGTTGTGTTTATGGAAGTTTCGTTCGAGGGACATTTCACTACCTGAATATCGTACGAGATTTTTAGGATTTTTAAAATCCCTATAATCTCTATAGGGATTTTCGGATTTTCGAACAGATTTGATGGGGGTTTCTGGATTTCTTGGTTTTTTTTAAAGATTTCCAAGGATTTTCATGGACGTTAAACATTCTTAAATACCGTTAGAAATGTGTAAATGTATCTTAAACTAATCGTTAATCTTCTGAGTAACACAGTACAACATTTGAAAAAGGTTCCCAAGTGTGACGTCATAAAAAAATTTGACGTCGTAAAGTGTGACGTCATATAATTTATATTTCTAGAATTATTGATTTTGACTGCATAACCTAAAAGAACACCATGAAATACCCAAGAAAAGCAAACACGGTTGAATATATAACAATAGGTTCTACATGGCAAATGAAAAGTTAGAATTTTGCTTAAGGATTGCAATGTTGCGAACAGAGACAAAATTACAGAGGTTAATGGAAGACTAGCCAGACAAAATATATCAAGGACAAAATTGTTGAGACAAAATGGATTTTTTTCAATTTTCTACTTTACGTTGCCCCTGTAATTTCGAATCACCCTTTTCCTCCCAAAACAATATTGTAGCTCAATCATTTTGACTTCAAAATCATGCATTCAACATTGAATTGGGGAAGGGTATAAGCTATTTTTCAAAGGAAAGTGAAAATATCAATTTTACCTAAAAAGTTTCATTTTTTTTGTCCTGGATTATAGCCTGTGCTCGTCATCTCGCACCCAATTTGTGTGACATCATCATTTGATAACTTGATAAAAATGAAATTTAAGGCATGGGAATACGACTTTGATAACATCACCGTTTTTATTATTATTGTTTGTATTGTGTTATATTGTCATTACTATATTTTATTGTCATGTATTGTATCGTATTTATTGTTTTTTATCGTATGTACTGTTTTGTATTGTTATTGTTTGTATTGATATTGTTTTGTATTGCTATTGTTTGTATTGTATTGTATTGTTGTGTATGGTATTGAATTGTAAAGTGGATGAGAAATCTTTGCACATCGAAAGCGTAAATGAATTTGTGTATCATATTTTAAAACAGGGTGCTTCCCAACAATCTTAGCCCTCTTATTTTGCTCCCTCCCTCCTCGGATTTTATAACCTTAGGGAGCTTTTACTTTTGAATAAAAAGAAAAGGCAGGAAGCATTTTAGAGCTTTAGGCAAGATATTTTAGACCCCCTCTCCATCTTCCCTACTAAATACTTCCACGACACTCAAAATTTACCCTAAGAAATGTTTCAGATTTTTTCGTTTGCTTCTGGCAAGGTTTCTGCAATAATTTATGCCCCCTCTTTTATTTGACGACAGGAACTAGCAGATGCTGCCTAAAATCCTCATCAACATTCAACATAGCTCGGGGGGGGGGGGTACACCTCAATATTAGCACCCTCTCTTTATACTTCTGCATCTCTGCTGTATTTATTGAGCATTGCTGAAGTTTTCGCACTATTTATCTGATTTCCCGAACTTCTGCCAAGATTCGGTAAAAAAGTCGTATCTAATGGAACTTTTGAAAGATTTCAGTAGATTTAGGATCACAAGAAGATTTGCAGATATTTTTGGATTTCGAAAGGATTTTCAAAGGGGGTATACGGGATTTTTTGAAGTAAATGCCCCTCAGTTAAGGGGAGAGGCCGAGCTCCCCTAAATCTCTCTGATTTTTAACAAAGAGGCTTGGCCCGCCTGAGCCTCTCTTCCACGGCACAAGCGCGGCAAATTACCAACTGGGGAGTCACCTTTCGAATAGTCGAATGAACCAGAGATTTTCCCTACGGGCTACGTCCCCTGCCGGCTGAAATGTTTGTTCTTTGTAAAGTGTTACGTTCCCTCTTTGGCACTACACCCAACCCTAGACAAATTTTGCTGCCACTGCCACCCTCCGTGAAGAAAAGGGCTCGGCGGGTGTTACACAGGGTGTATTGCTGTGTCCTGTGCTGGGGAGATCTTGATATTTTCTTTTAGGATTGCCTGGTCTCCTGAAGATTCACTAATTCCGCTGTACCGCATTAGTGCGTGGATTTTGCCAAATAAGCTCCAAGCAGAAGTATTGTTGTATAAAAGGAAATATTCATTGCTTTGGTGGTTAAAACGGCCCACATAAAATGACGTATAAGTCTGTGGGTTAATCTCATCGAAGAGATTATAAGAAAGCGAGCCTAAAAATTGAGGAACTGTAAACCTTATGTTGAACCTTATAAAGATTTACGCTGGAATAAGACTGTTGATCAAATAGTAGGAAAAGCGAATAGATCTCTTGGTTTGATTCGGAGAAACTTTTATAGAAGTCCACGCCAGGTGCGTGAAAAACTTTACTTCACGCTGGTGCGCCCTCACCTTGAATACGCATGCGAAGTGTGGTCACCGCATACTAATGAACTGAAACAACGAATCGAAAAGGTCCAAAGAAACGGAGCTCGTTTTGTTATGGGAGTGTACCGTCAGAGATCTAGCGTGACAGATTTATTGCAACAACTTAAATGGGACTCACTTGAATCACGTAGATTACTATTTCAACTGGAATATGTTCATAAAATGTTTACAAATCAGGTTGCTTTGGACCCTAACGTTTTCTTTTCCCCTCCAACTTGTTCAATGACAAGGAACTCTAACTCATTGAAGATCATGCCTAAATTCGGAAGGGTTGATGCTGTTAGGTTTTCATTTTTTTATTCAATCGTTTCTGTATGGAATAGCCTGCCAGACAGTATTGTGATGCAGGCAAATTCGGATACCTTTTACAACCTATGTCGAAATCACCTCAGTAAATTTTAAAATTTTAATGTTGTAGTTGACTGGGCAGACATTTGTATGACCCAAAGGGTTGTTAAATGTAAATGTAATGATGATGAACCATATTTGATAAAAAAAAATTTCATTCGTTCATTTCTAATATTTCTTTTTGTGGTAATTCAAGAACAGTCCAGCGAGTCCAGTCTCAAAATTTGAAATTTGTGCTCAAGTGAGTTAGGGGACTACAAAGCGAGTAACACACAAAATAGTAACTATGAATTTTGAAACTAATTATAGACTTGAGATTTATGAACATATCCAGAGTCAAGAAAACATTTTATTTGGTCAACAATCTTGATGAAGGTTGATAAAAACTAATCTGAAGTGCAGCACCCGAACCCTGCAATGCCTTGATTTTCTTCGAAGAAAGTTTCTAAAGCTAAAGGTTATTGACTACAAAAAGGACACTTTTCTGCATGCTTGACCTTGACTGGTGCTATATGAACCCTAACTATTTCGAAAATGTTAACTTTAGGGAGGTGGGGATCAGACCACTACATCACACCACAGTTCTACAAAAACTTCTCAGTTTATCAAAAAGCATACTTCTCATGGGCTCCGACGCTGGTTGGAAAGTGGAGGGGCCAAGAGAAAATGTAACAGTCATAACAAAAGTTTTTGAAAAAAGCTCTATTGTTTTGCAAAAAAGTGAGGGGACTCGTTTTGGTAGTGGTGATTTTAGAATAGAGTGCAAGCCTACAGTCTAATTAAAATATCAATTTTTTCATGGAGTCAAGATATCAAGATTATTTCTCATAAACATGTTTCTGATCGTCTAAAAGACTTTAAATAACTAAAGTATCATCCAATCTGGTTTTTAATCTGATAATTAGCCTGTTTCTGTAATATCCCTTGTTGTTAATAAGTGCAAGCCTATAACCTTTGGAAAATCTCGAATTATTAACTTTCCAAAAATATTAGATATTCTATCAAAATCAAACTTTTGATAGACCAAAAAGCAATAAAGAGACAAGAACATAATATATTTCAATTGGGAATATAACCTGTTTTGGCATGAATGTTTGTTAGTATAATTCACGACAATCATTTTATTTATAGGTTATGAAAGTTAAAAAGATTGAAAGACAACTGTATAAATTAGATACAAAAATAAAAAACCCCTAATATCTGTGGCAGAGATATCATTAAAAGGTAAAGCTGGCCATTTTTCCATAGTGGACCACGAGGTGCTGGTTTGAAAGAAAAAACAAAAAGATAAAGGATTTTTGAATTTTAAACTGTTGTTATTCACAAAATGGTTCTTAGTACTAGACAGATATGCCATCTTCTTTTTTTACTATATTGTTAAATAAGTTCTTTGATTACGATATTTTTCAGGAAAAAGTGCAAACCTTATAGAATACCGAATTATTCATTGTCGAAACAGAAGAAATTTTATGTAAAAAACACGTTTTTGAAGCAAAAAATGTTGTTGGTTTTGAAGGAATGTCGGCTGTTGAATAATTTGAACCAAATTGTATTGCATCTTTGAAATTTTAGTCGGGGAAAAGCGACTTATTAACATTTTGTAAAGCAAAAAAATCTTGAAAAATGGGATCCTTCCACCATATTTCCTTACCCCAACTTTTTTTTCCTTGGCAATGTAATACTTTAAAAAACCTATCACTTGATAAGGGGCTATGCTCGAAACGTCGTTATTTATTTAAAAAAATTTTTCCAGGTACAATTTACTTACATTTATCGTTATTATAGCATCATATTGTACTGCACGCAAGCTAGTATATTTATAATACCTTAAAAAAGCCCAACTAAATCAGGTGACGTAACAATTGGATAATTCGACAATTTGACGTAACAATTACGGACTGGGTCGAAATCTTTAAAAGTGGCGTTTGAGAAAATATCAACGGATTTTTCTCAAGTTTCAACTACTGTTCGAAGCTAATCAGAGTGCTGCTCGATATTTAAAAAGACTCAAAGTTAAAAACTCACGATGGAAAACAATTCTATTCGTTGTCAAATGGGAGAGGAAAGCAGAGATCAAGGAGTTTCCAGGTATGATTGATTTTTATGTAAAAAAATGATAAAAGAACAAGAGAACTGATGATTGATTTAGGCTTTGTTCTTCAACTTGGAATGTGAAAGATGTCATTTTTTTCCAGGAAATTTTGGATCATTGATTCAGCTAGAGTAAGTGGATCCGAACAAGAAGAATTCTCTGAAAGTCCACTCAATGATCAAAGGGAACAAGTCAACCAAGTTTCTGAAGTCTCCACTGCTCTTGAAAATGTCGAAGAATCGTTCTCTAAGACACAACCAAACATCTATTGGGATTCAGACGACTCAGAGTTTCTCGATATGATAGATTGCTTGCCAGAAGAAGCTCGTTTGTCATACTATAAACGCATGAAACTTCCGAGAGGCATCAGAGAGCAACGGTTGTTAAATCAGTCAAGAGGCCTGAAAAGAAAGAAATCCTCACAAAACAAGGCTGGTGAGTCCAAGTGTCGAAGAAAAGAAATTATCTACTCTCAGAGGAAATTCTGTCAAAGTTATGAGGATGAAGAAGATCATTCAGGGTATGATACTGACAGTGAAGATGAAGATGATTCTGGGAAGAGCAGGTATTCTGAAATTGTAGAGGAAAGCAACTCTTTGCTTGAAGCACCTAAACATGAAGCTGCCATCACTTCGGCTGCTGCTGATCAGGTTGGAGCCTCAGAAGATGTTGATGATGATGAATCTGACTACCCAGAATTCGATTCAGACTTCGAAGTCGACGATCCGATGTTCTTCAGAGATGATGACACAATGCCTTTACCTGATTTTGAGCCAATGGTGGATATGAATGAAGAAAATGACGCCGGTGAAGATCGTCTTTACAGGCGAGAACGTAAGTCGCTATTATCTTTAAAATAGGTTTCCAATTATTTCAAACCCTGTGTCATTGTCCCTAGCATGAAATATCTCGATCACCAACTCATAACATTATCCAAAATAATTAGGCTGGTGAATTTCATCGTTTTCTTTAATGCCAGTCAACCGATTTCAATTTCTTTCGATATTCCAGCTTCTTCTAATAATCAAAGCATTTTCATATCAATCCAAAATAAACGATTCAAAATAAGAAAAATCATTGCATCCTTAATGCATCTCCTTGACACAAGAATGAAACAAATATTGATTGAATAATGGAGGAACGTTATTTTATAGGCGATGAAGATGACCTTGATGAAGACAGCGACAATGGATACGAGTCAGACCAAGAGGATGCCAGAAAAGGTTTTGCTTTAATACCAACACAGCAAGGCATGGCCATCAGATTCAAGAACTTTCAATCAATCGTACCATATCTAAACTCCTTGCTGCCAGGGCAACTTAACCAGAGCGGAGTCTTAAACTTGCACTATCATCCTTCAACATATCCATTCACAAGAAATGCACTCTTGAATTTCCAAAGGAATATTGCTGCAGCTTTTGATCAGCCGATAGTTGATGAAGTTATAGTTATTGACAGCGATTCGGAAGATGAATCTGATGAAGCTGTAGCTATTGACAGCGATTCTGAAGATGAAACGAATGAGGTAATAACTATTGAAAGTGATTCAGAAGATGAATCTCAAGAAGATGATTTGCCTCAGCAACAAATTGACAACAGGGAGGATGTATCTGCAGGAATTGCTTCTTACGACTCATTACCACGATATGACTCTGGAAACATTGAACATGAAGAGTTGATCGATGAAGCAATTGATGGGTCTGTTGAAAACCTGAACTCACAGGAAGTGACATTGGAGAACCCTATATTAGAAGAACAGCCACATCATCAATGGTATCTTGATAGCAGTATTAGCCCGTTGGTGCAAAGCAGTCTTGTAAATGAACAACCAAATGAAGTTTTCGTAGCAGAGAATTCGGCCTCTGAAAATATGCCACCTTGCTGTGATGCAGAATGCCAAACTGATGATAATTTGGAAGATCACGAGGAAGAAGAGTGTTACCTCTGTGAAATAGATCAATATCGATATTATGGTCAGGAAGAGGTATGTCAGAAAAGAATGAAGTTTTGCTTGGATATCTTATTTGAATGTTAACGTCTGATTAACTCAGTATAACTGTAATATTAATATTATATGTTTCTTTAATTTGATGATATGAGGATCCAAAGGAACAACAATGACGGATAAGAATAGCTTAGACTTTTCAAGAAAGCTGATATTTTCTCTTTACTTTGCAAAATAACTTTCAATCGTCCCGCGAAGAACTACAGATCCAGCATCGATTCGGGGAAAAGGGGGGATTCGAATTAGCAGGGTCAGCGTAAAGTTATCAATGGCAAAAACCAAATTTTGACACAACAATTTTATCTGGGATTCTAAACACAACCTACAATTTATAGTACTCTAACAAGTTGGAAACAGCACAGTGACCGATTAAAGCAGTATTCCTGACTTTGAAAGCTAGATGTAAATATAGTCCTCTGACCTAGTAAAGTATGGTGGAATTGGGGTTTTCCTCGATTTTAGAGATAACAGTTCTGTATTAGTTACATTTTTGATGAAATGAACACAAAATATTAATCTCCAATTGCAGGTAGAACGCAGCCTTCCTGAAAGAATCTCTTTCGAGCAACAACATGGTAGCGCCGACCAACAACAATTTAATATAAGGGGCATGGAAACAAATGACGTCAAGAGAAGTTGTGAATCGCATTCTACCCTCGAAGAATCAGACGAACATAGTGTTCACACTTATGAAGAGAGATGTAGGATGTCAGAGAGACAGCTCACAGGCAGTCAGACAGAAGTGATTGACTGTTCTTGTTCCAGCAACCGATGCAGTGAAGACTGCTTCATAGATCAATGCAGTGATGTCGACTTTCCACTGTTTCAGCAATTTCGATGAAATTGAAAGAGTCTTAATGACATCATTTCAAAAATTATGACGAGAAATCAGATATAAACGAGCTTTCAAACTTTAGGATATAAAATATAAACTCTCTTTCTAGTTACAATATGGCACAGCAAGGTTAACGATAAAAGATATTTTACTATTTCAAAATACAGCTGTAGCAGCTTGTCTTCTATATCAGATATGTACAGTTGACAAAGTGGTTGTAATCAATTGAGTAAAATTACGAAGGTTCAGATTGCCTTTGAATTATATTCAGTCAAGTTTTGTAGAATTGTAAAAAATAATTGAATTAATCGTGAATTATATAGCTACATATAAATTTTCAAGTTTGTTTATAACAAAACTTCTTCTGTCAACAGCATGTTTATAAACCGTTGAAAATGTCAACATGGAAATAATAGTAAACTGGCGTTCAGGATGCTTCTACTCTGAGAACAAATCAAGGTCAAGGACAATTAATCAATAAGCCTGTTAATGCAATGGGGTTTCTTCTTTTAGGAAAATTAAATTTGATATCCTCTCTTCCCTTGTAGTAGGCTCTTTCAATAAAATCCTAATTAATGAAATATATGCATAACATATCCCAACTTCAGCCAAAATATAAATATTACTACTCGTTTCCAAAATAAGCTGTTAACTGTTTTGGTGTTCAGTGATACGATACAGTAAATATTTTGGCTTAAACAATCTCGCCTCGTTTCGAAAAAGGAGGCTAGCACGACCGATATCTTTTTGGTTTTAAATCAAATACTAAACTTAATGCAGCCAAGTTTTCTCCATGTAATCAACTAACATGCATTATGAAAATCAGTAATATTGTGTCATTTAGAAAAGAAGACAGTAGAAAATGTTTCTGTTATATGAGAAAAATGTTTGTCAGCCAGCGAATCTTACGTTATCCCATCAGTGTAGAGCCGATTATTATAATTACAAAAACAATTTTCTTTCTGGGAAGCTATTAAACTTTTTGAACCATATTTTGCCAGCTGAGAATATAACATCGAAAATACCCACAAAACTGATCACTTCTAATTTATCTGCATTTGCAACTTAAATTAACTTACAGTTTGAAGGGCAACAGATTCAAGATAAATTTTTTGGTCTGAAAGTAAACATGTTTTGACAAGTGCCCACTCTAAGACTTTTAGGGTTATAAGAGTTCCTGAGTTCCAATGTTTTGCACCCTGCCAAAGATGTCAGTAAATTTTAAAACTTTAACATAACATGTCCATACTATTGTCACAGCTTTCATATTTTTCAATTACTCAACATATGGTTAGCAGAAGGCTGTCAGAGTGATGTTGCTCATCTCACACAATACTCAAGTGCTACAGGGCCTCTGACGCAGATTGGAAAATGGAATGGCCAAGGGGATATCAACAATCATAAGAAAAGATCTTGTGTGGGTGAAGGGGGCATGGCACTATTAGCCCCCTTCTTTGGAGGTCTGATGCTATCTTTAACAAAGAACTACATGTTTCGTCCATCACTTTGTGTTTAGGACAATTCTTTTTGCAAAAGCAATAAGATTAGTTTTTGTAAAATGTTCATATGGTATCTAACTTGCCGCTAAGGTTGGAAGTATGGAATTCATATCTTTCACTATGCAATAGATTAGGACTTTGTCATCCTGTCTACAAGTTTAGCCATAGCAGAATTAAAAACAAGAGAGACAACATTTTTCCCTTTACAATTTTTTATCTTATAAACAAATTAGAAGCGAAGTTTTTGGAAAAACCATTTGTTCTTTCCGGTCTTGTACCTGCATAAAAAATGCAAACAAGTGTCATAATGACTGATGACAAACTTTGTATCAAAGAGACTGAAAAGAGACAAATGCTAGAAAATTTCAAAAGCAAGCAGTCACAAATCAAAGCCTATTTTAAAATTTGGTGCACATGATTTGTTATGGGGCTTGTTTAACTCTATCCATGTTGGCTGAAAGTGACTGGACTTCATGTACCATTTGAAAGTGACTGCGCTACTTTTGGTCCACTAATTATGATAGGCAGAGAAGGTTGGGTGGGTGACTTGCTAAATCCCAACCCAAGTTTTGCTAAATGTAGACAAGTCATTCATTTTCCCATTACTGATAAACTGCTCACATAGACATAAAACAATGTCTAAAGGATTCAGGAAAAGTTGGGTTTACCTAAAATGGACAGATACTCTACTATCAGCTTGCCTTAAACCCAAACACAGTAAAAAGTTGAATTATTTTAAGTCTTGTCCTAGATTACTCAGGCTTTCACTAGGTCAAACTGATTTTCAACTCCCATTGTTCACGGTAACACCCCCAGAGAAGCCAGACATTTGCAAAAGTTGCACAATTTCCTTACCCACTGAAGGTCAAGCTACTGAATGTAACTATAATCTGAAAAATATTGGGCTGTCCTTGAGTGCGCCAAAAAAATCCTTATAACAAAGCGAGCCTAAAAATTGAGGAACTGTAAACATTATGTTGAACCATATTTGATAAGAAAAAATTTCATTCGTTCATTTCTAATATTTCTTCTTATGGTAATTTAAGAACAGTTCAGCCAGTTCAGCCTCAAAATTTGAAATTTGTGCTCAAGAAGGTTAGGGGACTACAAGGCGAGTAACACACAAACTATTAATTATGAATTTTGAAACTAATTATGGACTTAAGATTTATGAACCTATCAAGAGTCAAGAAAATATTTTATTTAGCCAACAATCTTGATGAAGGTTGATAAAAACTTGATCTTAAGTGCAGCATCCAAACCCTGCAATGCTTTGATTTTCTTCGAAGAAAGTTTCCAAAGCTAAAGCTTATTGTCTACAAAAGAAGGACACTTACCTTGACCGATGCTATATGAACTCTAATTATTTCTAAAATGTGAACTTTAGAGAGGTGGGGATCAGACCACTACATCACACCACAGTCCTACAAAAACTTCTACTGAGGCTCTGGTACAAACCTTATAACATTAAGGAAATACCAAATTTTTTCATTGCCCAAAAATATGAAGACTTTTACTAAAAAGCATATTTCTGACAGAACGTAATTGAATTTTATGACTTTTGCACCATTCATTCTTGCTTTTCATGACATATTTACCTTTTATTGTTTGTTATCATTTTTGATTAAAAGCCCAAGCCTATAGCCCTAGGAGATTTTCGAATTTTCATTGTCAAAATATGTGAAGCTTTTTATAACAAAACTGCTACTATTAGACCATAATTGTTTTTATGACTTTTGCATCATACATTGTTGCTTTTCATGACATATTTACCATTAATTGTTTCTGATCATTTTGATAGAAGGCTCAAGCCTATAGCCCTAGCAAATATTCGAATTTTCATTGTCAAAATATATAAAGTTTTTATAAAAAGAACTGCTATTATTAGAACATAATTGTTTTTATGACTTTTGCATCATTCATTCTTGCTTTTCATGACATATTTACCATTAATTGTTTCTGATCATTTTGATAGAAAGCTCAAGCCTATAGCCCTAGCAAATATTCGAATTTTCATTGTCAAAATATATAAAGTTTTTATAAAAAGAACTGCTACTATTAGAACATAATTGTTTTTATGACTTTTGCATCATTCATTCTTGCTTTTCATGACATATTTACCATTAATTGTTTCTGATCATTTTGATAGAAAGCTGAAGCCTATAGCCCTAGCAAATATTCGAATTTTCATTGTCAAAATATATAAAGTTTTTATAAAAAGAACTGCTATTATTAGAACATAATTGTTTTTATGACTTTTGCATCATTCATTCTTGCTTTTCATGACATATTTACCATTAATTGTTTCTGATCATTTTGATAGAAAGCTCAAGCCTATAGCCCTAGCAAATATTCGAATTTTCATTGTCAAAATATATAAAGTTTTTATAAAAAGAACTGCTATTATTAGAACATAATTGTTTTTATGACTTTTGCATCATTCATTCTTGCTTTTCATGACATATTTACCATTAATTGTTTATGATCATTTTTGATAGAAAGCTGAAGCCTATAGCCCTAGCAAATTGTCGAATTTTTCATTGTCAAAATATATGAAGCCTTTTATAAAAAACTGCTTTTGATAGACAGTAATTGCTTTGTGATTATTGCATCGTTCATATTTACCTTTTATTGTTTGTGGCCATTTTTTGAAAAATATGCAAGCCTATTGCTTTAGGAAAATGTCGAATTTCTCATGGCCTAAAAAATGAAGATTTTTGTAATAAAATGCTTCTGATAGATCATAATAGCTATTTATGACTATGGCAGCTTTCATTCTTCCTATTCATGGCATGTTTATTCTGTTTTGTTTGTGCTCGTTTTTTTTAAAATGCGCAAGCCTATAGGCTAGTGCAAATATGAAAAATTGCGGAAAAACACGTTTCTGATAAACCAAAAGAGGAGTAAAAGACTAAAGAAGCATGTTTTCTTTGCATTTTCTACATTTTTATCTCGTTTTGGTAGTGGTTATTTTAGAATAGAGTGAATACAGTCTTATAAAAATTTCATTCTTTTCATGGAGTTCAAATATCAAGATTCTTTCTCATAAACATGTTTCTGGTCGTCTAAAAGACTTTAAATAACTATAGTAGCATCCAATCTGGTTATTTATCTGATAATTAGCCTATTTCTGTAATATCCCTTGTTGGTAAAAAGTGCAAGTCTATAGCCTTTGGAAAATATCGAATTATTAACTTTCCAAAAATATTAAATATTTGATCAAAATCAAACTTTTAATAGACTAAAAAGCAATAAAGAGACAAGAAAAACATCTATTTTAATTGGGAGTTTAACTTGTTTTGGCATGTATGTTTGTTTGTATAATTCACGAGAATCATTTTATTTATAAAAGTTAAAAAGATTAAAATGCATTGTATAAATTAGATACAAAGATAAAATCCCCTAATATCTGTGGCAAAGATATCATTAAAAGGTAAAGCTGGCCATTTTTCCATAATGGACCACGAGGTGCTGGTTTAACAGAAAAAAATAAGGAAAAAAAGATTTTTGAATTAAGATTGATTTTATTTACAAAATGGTTCTTAGTACTAGACAGATATGCCATCTTCCTATTTTACTATTTTGTTAAATAAGTTCTTTGGTTACAGTATTTTTCGGGGAAAAGTGCAAGCCTTATGAAATATCAAATTATTAATTGTCTAAAGAGATGGAATTTATGTAAAAAACACGTTTCTAAAGCACAAAAAATCTTGTTGGTTTTGAAGGGATGTCGGCTGTTGAATAATTTAAATCAAATTGTACTTGCATCTTTGAAATTCTAGTCGGGGAAAAGCGACTTATTTACATTTTGTAAAGCAAAAA